GAGAAATTTTTTCCTGGGTAGAGGCATGGTTGACAAATAGGCAGCAGAGAGTTTGCATAAATGTGGAGAAATCAGAATGGGGGTACATCACAAGTGGTGTTCCACAGGGGTCAGTGTTGGGCCCCTTGTTTTTCACAATTTACATAAACTACATAGATGAGGGAATAAATAGCGACTTAAGCAAATTGCTGATGACACCAAAATAGGCCCTCCAATTCATTCTAATGAGGACATTAGAGCACTCCAGGAGGATTTGAATAGATTGATGCAGTTGTTGGAGAGTGGGCAGATGCAGTTTAATATAGACAAATGCAAAGTTCTAAATGTTGGACAGGAAAATAACCATGCCACATATAAACTAAATAATGTAGATCTTAATTTTACTGATTGCAAAAAGGAGTTAGGAGTTCTGGTTAGCAGTAATCTGCAACCAAGACAACAGTGCATAAGTGTTTGCAATAAAGCTAACAGAATCCTTGGTTTCATATCAAGAAGTATAAATAATAGAAGTCCTCAGGTTGTTCTTCAACTCTATATATCTTTGGTAAGGCCTCATTTAGATTATGCTGCACAGTTCTGGTCACCATATTACAGAATGGATATAAATGCACTGGAAAATGTACAAAGGAGGATGACAAAGTTGATCCCTTGTATCAGAAATCTTCCCTGTGTGGATAGACTGAGGGCCCTAAATCTGCACTTTGGGAAGGCATAGAATTAGGGAGGATATGATTGAGGTAGTAGGTTGGTAGACAGCAACTGCCCATGGAGGTACTACCCTCCTGCCAAGTGAGTGTAAAATGAAAGCCTGTAATTGTTTTACATGATGGTAGGATTGCTGGTGTCTTTTGTCTGTCTCATAAATATGCAAGATTACAGGTGCATCTTGCTACTTCTACTTACACTTAGGTCACACTACACATACATGTACAAATATATGTATACATACCCCTCTGGGTTTTCTTCTATTTTCTTTCTAGTTTTTGTTCTTGTTTATTTCCTCTTATCTCCGTGGGGAAGTGGAACAGAATTCTTCCTCCGTAAGCCATGCGTTTCATAAGAGGCGACTAAAATGCCTGGAGCAAGGGGCTAGTAACCCCTTGGAAGGAGAAACTTACATTTTTCCTTTTGGGCCACGTTGAAAGAAAGATGATTGAGGTACAGTGATTATGTATGAGTGAGGTGAAAGTGTTGAATGGTGATGAAAGTACAGTGGACCCCCGAGTTTCGTGATTAGTCCGTTCCAGAGAGCCCGCCGAAGGTCGAAATTCACGAAACTCAAAACCATTTTCCCCATAAGAAATAATGGAAATAAAATTAATCCAGTCCAGACACCCAAAAATATTAAAATAAAATATTTTTTTTTTCAAATTAAATAAAGATTTACATAATGAAAACAATCAGAAATCAAGTACATGCATTTAAAATAAATAATAATAACATTCCTAGGTAGTAGGTTGGTAGACAGCAACCGCCCAGGGAGGTACTACCGTCCTGCCAAGTGAGTGTAAAACGAAAGCCTGTAATCGTTTTACATGATGGTAGGATTGCTGGTGTCCTTTTTTCTGTCTCATAAACGTGCAGGATTTCAGGTACATCTTGCTACTTCTACTTACACTTAGGTCACACTACACATCCATGTACAAGCATATATATACACACCCCTTTGAGTTTTCTTCTATTTTCTTTCTAGTACTTGTTCTTGTTTATTTCCTCTTGCCTCCATGGGGAAGTGGAACAGAATTCTTCCTCCGTAAGCCATGCGTGTTGTAAGAGGCGACTAAAATGCTGGGAGCAAGGGGTTAGTAACCCCTTCTCCTGTATATATTACTAAATGTAAAAGGAGAAACTTTCGTTTTTCCTTTTGGGCCACCCCACCTCGGTGGGATATGGCCGGTGTGTTGAAAGAAAGAAAGAATAATAACATTACACTTACCTTTACTGAAGACTTCTGGGTGGATGGAAGATGGGAGGAGGTGATAGGAGGAAGGTGTACACTATTGTTTGGAAGGAGAATCTCTTTCCATTAGGACTTTAGGTAGCAAGTCCTTATCTGGGGTTACTTCCCTTCTTCTTTTAATGCCACTGGGAACAACTTGAGAGTCACTGGACCCCTGGCACACAAAATATCTATCCAGAGAGGTCTTTTTCTGGCGTTTCTTTAAGATTTCCCTGAAGTGGGACACAACACTGTCATTGTACGTGTTGCAGATACGGCTTGTTTCAGCTTGGTCAGGGTGATACTTTTCAACAAAACTTTGAAACTCATTCCACATTCCACACATGTCCTTAATCACTGAAGAAGGCACCTCATCCACTCCCTCTTCCTCCTCCTTTGAAGCAAGTTCCTCGGAGTGCATAGAGTGCGCGTCTCTGAGCTGGCCAGGTTGTACACAAAACCCCAATCACCCATCGCTACTATTGTGGCCAAGAAAATGGCAATCAAGGAAGCTGTTCTTGCCAAAGGATGCTGTTCCAGTTGAAGCTTTTGCAGTTCGTCAGTGGTTAGCTCTTCCCTGTGGTCCTCCACCATCTCTTCCACATCCCCGTCACTCACTTTATTTACCAAAGGGCTTGCACTAGCTTTCCTTGGGTCCATGATGACTTATTTAGCAGTTGCAAGCACAAAAAACAATGGATTATTATGAAATGTATTGTATGAACCCGCGGGGTGATGGTCACTTGTTGGTAAACGATGGCACACTGAGCGTGAATGGCGTGGGAGACTGGCTTTGTGTGTGCGGTGACGGGCGGACGGGTACTGGACGGTCGCTGAAACACGAGTTTTTTCATGAAACTCGAGGCCAAATTTTTCCAAAAAAACTCGCCGAAGGTTGAATTTCACGAAAGTCGAGGCTGCCGAAACTCGAGGGTCCACTGTATTTTCTTTTTGGGGATTTTCTTTTTGAGTCACCCTTCCTCGGTGGGAGACGGCCAACTTGTTAAAAAAAAAAAACATGATTGAGGTGTATAAATGGAAAACAGGAATGAATATAGGGGATGTAAATAGCGTGCTAAAAATATCTAGCATAGACAGGACTCACAGCAGTGACTTTAAGCTGGAAAAATTCAGATTCAGGAAGGATATAGGAAAGCACTGGTTTGGTAATAGAGTTGTGGATGAGTCAAACAAACTCCCAAGTACTGTCATAGAGGCTAATACGTGTAGTTTTAAAAATAGGTTTGATAAGTACATGAGTGGGTGTGGGTGGGTTTGAGTTTGACTTGACTAGCTTGTGCTACTAGGTCAGATGCTGTGCTCCTTTAGGTGAACGTGACCTGACCTGACTAGGTTAAGGCATTGGCTTAAGCCGGTGGGTGAACTATACCTGCCTCGCATGGGCCAGTAGGCCTGCTGCAGTGTTCCTCCTTTATTATGTTCTTATGTATTAGTAAATGAAAAGAAAAAAGATAAGGAATGGGAAAGTGAAGAAACTGTAGTGGGTTATCAAGTAATCTTAAGCATGTTTCCAAAGCAAGAAATCATCCCTGTTCTTACTTCATGATAATGTTTAAATTGTAATTAAGAACAAGCTGTCTGCTGCATACTACATTGTATGGTAGTAATATGTAAAATGTTCATTGTTTGACTCAACAGCCTCGCCCTTCTGCCAAAACGGGTGACCCAAAGAAGAAAACACATTTACCAACATTTTTGCAGTCACTGTCTTTCCAGATGTGTGTTGAAATTAGTGAGATTACCATTGTGACTGCCACATCCTTGCCCCTCTTTCAGGTGTGCAGGCACTGCCCTTTCCACCTCCATGACTCAAGTCCAGCTAATGAGTTTTCCTGAATCCTTTCATAGCAATTACCCTGCTCACACTCCAACAGCATGTCCATTAAAAACCACATGTCTCCATTCATTCCTATGTAACATGCATGCACAAGCCTGCTAGATGCTCAAGCCCCTAAAATTGAAATCCTCCTGTATAAAGTACTAAACTGAAGAAGAAAATAAAATATGGATGTTAGAAATAAAAGTAGAATTTTAACTACTGAAAAGGTAGTTTGAAATTATATTTCATGCCATTAATCTTGTAAATGCTGTACTGAAAGCCCGAAAACCTCAGATTGTGTATCTAATTCTATAACGTGATTAATGAATGAGAAAACAAGGAGCACACCACATTTAATATGTAAAATCTCTAGAAGGGAGCAGAAAACTGTAATGAATTTTCTAATAAATTATTACATATTGAGAAATCAAACTGTAAAGTAAAATATTGATTTGTAGATGAATGGTTCAGAGAACCGACATGTTGATAAATTAGACATATGTGCAACTTTTGGGTATCTTTATTGAGGAAACGTTTCGCCACACAGTGGCTTCATCAGTCCATACAAAGGAGAATCTTGAAGAACAGGAGGAGAATGAGGTAATCAGTCCCTCAACCTTGAGTCGATGTGGTCAGTCCATCAATTTTGAATAGAATATTCAAGATTGATGGACTGACCACATCGACTCAAGGTTGAGGGACTGATTACCACATCTTGAATAGAATATTCAAGATTGATAGACTGACCACATCGACTCAAGGTTGAGGGACTGATTACCTCATTCTCCTCCTGTTCTTCAAGATTCTCCTTTGTATGGACTGATGAAGCCACTGTGTGGCAAAATGTTTCCTCAATAAAGATTCCCAAGAGTTGTACATGTGTCTAATTTATTAAAATATTGATTTTTGAGATTATTCATATAGCTGTACATATTGTACATGGAAAATGAGGATGAGAATGCATTTACTGAAGAAGTTTGAATTGACTGGTAATAGTCATATAGAAAATTATAAGATAAATTAGAAACAAGAGTGAGGTAAAATAAAGACACTAGATTTGCATCAGGATGAAAGTTTGTATGTTGAGACTGTAGTATTACTAAAATTATTCATGATCACCCTGTCTATTAAAGCAAATAAGATAATAGATGATTACCAGTAGGTAGCTAACCTAATTTCCTTTGGTAAACACTGTATATTTTATAATATACAAACCACCAGGTGTCAGCACTCTGTCAGGCCATGGAGGACTCGAGTGTCATGGTGCAGCGTGCAGCACTTGATCTTACTCTGGCTGCTCTTCCCATGCACAACACCCAACTACTACGACCTGATTTAGTCAGAATTGTTACTTCTGCTATATTAGTGCTCTTAAGAAGAGATATGTCTTTAAACAGGTAAATGTAATTTAGTACCAAATCTTTTTATTATGTACTATATCATCTGCTGTTACAGAAAAGCACTCTCAGGAGAAAATAAGTAGCTGTAGCTAAGTTCTAGTTTTAATCTTCCCAAAATGCATTACATAAGCAAAGGCTTTTTCATAATGGATAAAATAAACATTGACTATTTCTGTAATAATTGTGTGCTTTTGGCTCAACATTTTAATTTTTTATTGTTATATAGGATGAATATTTGGACCCTCTTGAAACATGATTGAATTTGGTAACCATTTGGGTTTGTAGCAGTGTCTTACTATTAAAATTGTATAATGTGTGAACACATTATGCAATTTTAATAGTAAGACACTGTTAATGTATATTTTTTTCCTTGTATATTATAGACATGTTCTTTTTTTTCCAGACGTCTGTATGCATGGCTACTTGGTTCTGAAATCAACCTCTCCCTCTTGTCATCAGAGCATCCTGTTGTTAAGCGCCTTAACAGTGCTACAAGTGACACTAATACTGAAGATGGGGGAGAGATTAATGCCTATTTTGAAATTTTTTCAAGACCTTTACTGGTAGAGGGCATTATTGCATGCTTGAAGATAAGTCAAGGAACAAACCCTCCAGATCTGCGGCCTTACAGGCTTATTGTCTCACTTTTAGATAAACCAGAAATTGGTCCATATATTTTAGATGATATATTCTTGGATTTGTTAAGGTAAATTATGTCATTGTTATTTATTGTCACAGACACTATGTTAGGTATTTGTTTTGTTTCATTGAAAATGTACACTTCTGTTGCATTTAATAATATAAATCTGGGAAGTAATATACACACACTGTTTTATGCTGTATTTATTGTACTTTTATTTTTACACACCTGCTGTATTCCACCGAGGCAAGGTGACCTAAAAAAAAAAAAAATTTTTTTAAATTTAGTCATTTATACAGAAGAAGGGGTTACTAGCCCCTTGCTCTTGGCATTGTAGTTGCCTGTTATGACATGCATGGCTTATGGAGGAAGCATTCTTTTCAGCTTTCCCATGGCCATAAAAGGAAATAAAGAAGGACAAGAACTAGTAAGAAAATAGAATAAAACCCAGATGGGTGTGTATATATGTGCATGTACATGCATATATAGTATGTCCAAAGTGTAAGTAGAAGTAGCAAGATACACCTGTTATCTCATGTGTTTTTTTTTTTTCAACAAACCAACAATGTCCCACCAAGGCAGGGTCGCCCAAAAAATAAAAACAAAAGTTTCTCTTTTTTAATTTAGTAATGTATACAGGAGAAGGGGCGACTAGCCTCTTGCTCCTGGCATTTTAGTTGCCTCTTATGACACGCATGGCTTACGGAGGAAGAATTCTGTTCCACTTCCCCATGGAGATAAGGGGAAATAAGCAAGAACAAGAACTAAGAAGAAAATAGAAGAAAACCCATAGAGGTATGTATATATATGGTTGTACATGCATATGTAGTGTGACCTAAGTGTAAGTAGAAGTAGCAAGACATACCTGAAATCTTGCATGTATATGAGAGAGAAAAAAAAAGACACCAGCAATCCTGCCATCATATAAAACAGTTATATACAGGTTTCCATTTCACACTCACTTGGCAGGATGGTAGTACCTCCCTAGGTGGTTCTTGTGTGCCAACCTACTCTCTAGGTTATTATACATAGTTTGGCAAATCAGTAATAAAAAAATTCATAACTGAAACAGAGGGAGTTAGATGTCAAGGATTGTTAAGTAAGACACATATGTGACAGTTAAGCATCTACAGTGGACCCCCGCTTTACGATCAGCTCCCAATGCGACCAATTATGTGAGTGTATTTATGTAAGTGCGTTTGTATGTGTATGTTTGGGGGTCTGAAATGGACTAATCTAATTCACAATATTCCTTATGGGAACAGATTCGTTCAGTAATGGCACCTGAACATACTTCTGGAATGAAATAATATCGTAAACCAGGGGTCCACTGTATTCCGAAACGTTTCACTTACACATTACTCTTTTGTACTCATCTGAAGAAGCCTACTGTGTAGGCAAAACATTTTGGAATAAAGATGCCTAACCGTCACATGTACGTATATGTCTTACCAACCTGTCAGTATTGTACACTATTTTGATATAGATAGATACACCTACCATCCGACTTGCAACCTGCTCGACTTACGACTACTCGACTTACGACCGTGTTTTTTATGCCAAATTTCTGGGAAATAAACAACTATTTGTGTTGTACACAGTGTTTATCCTAAACCTAACAGTATAAAATACAGTACTAACAGCATAAAAAGTAAAGTAAAACATGAAATACCAAAATAAAACAATAAAATAAAGTCATTACGAAAATGTTTTGTTGATATTCAGTAGTAAAGTTCGACTTACGACCATTTCGACTTACGACCGGTTTCTCGGAACCGAACTCGGTCATAATTCGGATGGTAGGTGTATTTCCATTCCTATTTTAAGTGCTGGAGGAGGTGTAACAAGCTTCTTAAGCAAAAGAAGAGCCGTAAAGCAGGATGGCAGGAATTTTAACAAACCTTTATATACAATAATGAAAGTAAATAATTAAAGTTAGTACCTGTAAATGTCCTTGCTAAAATATCTTATCATTCATGTATACATGTATATCAATTTCATAATCATCTATTATTTAATACAAAATGTACCAATTATATTTAACCCTTAAACTGTCCAAACGTAGATCTACGTTTTTTCAACATTTGAAAGTATGTAAAAAAACGTAGACCTTCTTTTTTTTTTTACATTTGAAAATGTGTAAAAAAACTTTGATCTACATTTTTTTGTTGTTATGTTTGAAAATATGTAAAAAAACGTAGATCTACTTTTGGAGCACTACGCATGTGAACGTAGATCTGTTTGGACAGTTTAACCCATAAACGGTTCAAACGTATACATACGTTCACTACCGTACTGCCCCAACTTTTTTGAGAAAAAAAAAACATTGTTGTTTTTTAATAGGAAAAAAGAGCATATGGTACCCAGGCATCCCCAATTATTTTAATATGGTGCACAGTGAGTGCTCACACCCATTCTCACATGTCTAGGCGACTCAGGCTTATCGTGGCACTGTTAAATGTAGGAGACATAAAACGTACATATACGTTTGGGGCACTAGCAGTAAAAACGTATATATACATTTGGACCGTTTACGGGTTAAGGGTTAAAATAATTAATCACTTATTGTATTATATATATTTCAGATGCTTATACCATACATGTCAAGTGTTACAAGCTGTGAATGAGACTCCAACAGAACCCAGTAGTAGGCGCCATAGTACCGGGGATAAGCAAAATTCAACACTACCACCACAGTCTTCGGATGGCACTAAACTTCCATTAGAGGGTAACCGAGGGTTTCATGAAATTACAAAAACAGCTACCTTACTCTTCAGTGCTCTACAACCTTCATATCCATGGATGCATCTCACAGGTCTTCTGAGTCAGGCCTGTCTACTTAAAGCAACACACGGAAATGCAATGGAAGAAGAAAAGAGCCATAAGGATTGCTCATCTTTAGTGAAAGCTGTAGGGAGTCTACAGATGAATGTTTGCGAAGTGTGTACGCTGCTGCAGCATTTGTTAGCTTCACTTCCATTAGATACACAACAGCAGACTCAATCATCAAGATTACCTGAGGTGCTCTCCTCAATAACATCTCTTCTCACTGAACATCTCACAGTTCTGAATGCCCATGAACTTTCAGTTGGGCTATCCCTTTGTCAGTCTGTTTTGCACAAACTTATTCCTTCAGTCACTCTCCCACCAGCAGCTAATCTTTCTCGGCCAGAATCACGAGCCAGTATTGGCACTTTTGTCTCCTTGCAACTCCAGGCTCTCTCACATGTGTCAACAGTCACAAGACCCATAATTGTCCCAGAAGCATCTGCTCGAGAGAGTCCCCCTACTGAATGTGGTATTGTTCAGATTGGTATAGAGGCAAATGAGGAAGATGTGAGCCAAAGTGAGGAGAGCAAACATATGGACCATAGCTCAAGTACATCTGTAACTGGTGAAAGTAGTAGTAGTAGTAATATCAATGAGAACATAACTGACATGGAGGCAGAAACTTCATTTATATCAGATTGTTCTAAGGTGTTACCAGATGACTTCAAAAAAGCTGAGATGGAAATTGAAAGTGTTACTGGAAAGAGTGAAGACCCTAACATTGATGAAAATGACTTTGTGAAGGATGATATATTTATTAAGTATAATGATTCTGTTGATTTGTTTGAAGTAAATGTTTTACAAGATATGGATAAAATAGAGAATAAATTGGTCAGGGAATATGAAGTGCTCCCTGACAAAGGAGTTGCTTTGGAAGATGTAACTGTACATCATGATCTTCCTCAGTTACAGTTATCCCAAGAGGCAAGTGAAGATGAATATGAGAGTGCTCCACAGAGTCCCAACCATCTTACTTATTCCCCTATACATGGTTATGTAAAAGATTTTGAAAAATTCTTTCTTGAACTTATTCAGAAGAAAATAATATGTAATAATTCATCTGTATTAGACTTTCAAAATGTATTGTATAGATCTGACATATTGGGTGTTGACAGTTTATCTGAACTCAAGTATTTACTGAGAGAATGTTTGGAGTGTTGTGAAGCTGAAGGTGACTCCAGGGAGTCTCCAGTGACGTTTAAACATCAGTCACTACCATCACCTTCCCGGAAAATTTGTTCAAGATTGTCACATCCAACCTCACCTGTTCATTCAAACAAGAACGAAAATGTAGATTTTACATCATTTCTACAATTAGATCCAAAGTCAGACAAGCAGCTTAGTGTATTTAAGGTATCTTGTAGCATCCTTGTTGACTTATCATCACTTCCCACGACCCCAGGACTGTCACTTACTCGACCAAGCACCAATATTCCACACTGGCTTGTTGGGTTATTAGCATGTGTTGTTTATGGAAGACAGGTCTCTCCAGAATTTACCCTTACCTCCATCTCTACTCTGTTGGAGCTTGTGATGTTGGCCCAGTCAGAATTGTCAGTGTGGCAGAGTGAATCAGTACTTGAAGGAGATGGTGATGCTGGAGTGGTGACAGTCAACATTACGCCTTTGCTCCTTCCAACACACACACACATTCTGCTGTACCATACATTGGTGTATCAGGTATGTTCTTTTTCAAATATATAACTGTTTTATGTGATGTTCATAACATTGTAGTTAGTACTGTATAGTAGACCAGTTATCCTTGGAAAGTATGTAAATGGGTGCACCTCTCTTTTTTTCTCTTCTTCCTCCCTCCTCCTCCATTTATCCTCCTCCTCATCCTCCTCCATTCATCCTCCTCCTCCTCCTCCCCCTCCCTCCCCCCCTCCCTCTCCCCCCTCCCTCTCCTGCCTCCCTCTCCCCCCTCCCCCTCCTCCCTTCATCCTCCTCCTCCTCCTCCCTTCCTCCTCCTCTTCTTCCTCCTCCTCCTCCTCCTCTTCTTCCTCCTCCTCCTCCTCTTTCTCCTCCTCTTCTTCCTCCTCCCCTCCTCCTCTTCTTCCTCCTCCTCTTCTTCCTCCTCCTCTTCCTTTCCCCCTCCTCTTCCTCCTCCTCCTCTTCCTCCTCCTCCTCCTCCTCCTCTTCCTCCTCCCTCCTCTCTTCCTCATCCTACCTCCTCCCTCCTCTCTTCCTCATCCTACCTCCTCCCTCCTCTCTTCCTCCTCCCTTCCTCCTCCTCCCTCCTCCCCTCTTCCTCTTTCCCTCCTCTTTCCTCCTCCTCCCTCCTCCTCATCCCTCCTCCTCATCCCTCCTCCTCCTCCCTCCTCCTCCTCCTCCTCCTCCCTCCTCCTCCCTCCTCCTCCTCCATCCTCCTCCTCCATCCTCCTCCTCCATCCTCCTCCTCCATCCTCCTCCTCTTCCACCTCCCTGCTCCTCCCTCTTCCTCCTCCCCTCCCTCCTCCATCCTCCTCCTCTTCCACCTCCCTCCTCCTCCCCTCCCTCCTCCTCCCCTCCCTCCTCCCCCCCCCTTCTCCCCCCCCCCTCTCTCCTCTCTCTCTCTCTCTCTCTCCTCTCTCTCCTCCTCCTCTCTCTCTCTCTCTTCTCTCTCTCCTCTCTCTCTCTCTCTCTCCTCCCTCCTCTTCCCTTCCCCCTCCCCCTCCCTCCCTCCCTCCTTCCCCTCCCTCCTTCCCCCTCCCCCCTCCCTCCCCCTCCCCTCCCTCCCCCTCCTCCTCCTCCCCTCCCCCTCCTCCTCCCTCCCCTCCTCCCTCTTTCCCTCCTCCTCCCCTCCCCCCCTCATCCTCCCCCTCTCTCCTCCCTCCCTCCCTCCCCTCCCCTCTCTCTCCTCCCCCTCTCTCCCCCCTCCTCCCCTCTCTCCCCCCTCCCTCCCCCCTCTCTCCCCCCCTCCCCCCCTCTCTCCCCCCTCCCCCTCCCTCCCCCCCTCTCCTCCCCCTCCTCTCCCCCTCCTCCCTCCCCCCTCTCCTCCCCCCTCTCTCCCCCCTCTTCCCCCCCTCCCTCCCTCCCTCTCCTCCCTCCTTCCCTCCCTCCTTCCCTCCTCTCCTTCCGTCCCTCCCTCCATCCTCTCTCCTCCCTCTCCTCTTCCTCCCTCCCTCTTCCTCCCTCCCTCCCTCCTCCTCCCTCTTCCTCCCTCCCTCTTCCTCTCTCCTCCCCTCTTTCCTCTTCCTCTCTCCCTCCTTCCTCTCTCCCTCTTCCTCCCTCCCTCTCTTCCTCCCTCCTCTCTCCTCCCTCTCTTCATCCCTCCCCTCCTCTCCCTTCCTCCCTCTCTCTTCCTCCCCTCCTCTCCCCTACCTCCTCCTCCTCCTCCTCCCTCCTCTTCCCCTCCTCGTCTCCTCCTCCCTCTCCTTCCTCCTCCTCCCTCCCTCTCTCCCTCCTCCCCTCCTCTCTCCTCCTCCTTCCTCCTCTCTCCTCTCCTCCTCCTCCCTTCCTCCCTTCATCTCCTCCCTCCTCCCTTCATCCTCCTCACTCCTCCTATCCTCCTCCTCCTCTCCTCCTCCTCCTCCCTTCCTCCCTCCCTCTCCTCCTCCTCCTCCTCTTCCTCCTCCTCCTCTCCTCCCCTCTCCTCCTCCCCTCCTCCCTCCTCCTCCTCCCTCCCTCCTCCTCCTCCCTCCCCCTTCCTCCTTCCCTCCTCCCTCCTTCCTCCCTCCCTCCTCCTCCTCCCCTCCTCCTCCCTCCCCCTCCTCCTCCCTCCCCCTCCCTCCCTCCCCCTCCTCCTCCCTCCTCCTCCTCCCCCTCCTCTGCCCTCCTCCTCTCCCTTCCTCTCACTCTCTACTGTCCTCATCCTTTCCTACTCCTTTCATCATTCCCTTTATCCTCTATCTCACTTTCCTACTCCCTTCCTCTCTATACTCTCCTACAACTCACCTCCCCACCCCCCCTCTCCCTTCTCCATTATGTTATCATTAGTCATAGGATATCATTCATTAGTATTATTTAATCCAACCATCCCCACCAAAGCAGGGTTACTCAAAGAAGAAAATGCATTCACCAACATTCACTCAATCTCTTTCTTTCCAGAAGTGTGTTGACATGGCACTCAGATTACATTACTATGGGTATTTCCATAAAGGATTAATAAGATAATAAACTGTCAGTTTATCCTTGTTACACTTATGTAGCTTCTTGTAATTGATATATCTGTAAATGCAAGTAAGTGTCAGCTGGTTCACATTTTCATTAGATAAAACCTGATATGTTGAATTCATTTCTGGGTATTTCAGGTGCTTCATTCTTTGCCTTCAGAAAACTTGGAGCTGTCTGAAATATCTGGACAGGATTTTAAGTATGCCCACCAATTTTCCCCTAAAAATAGGAAGTTTCCTGAGAAAGTCAAGATTTTTTACTGAAGAATAATTGGATGCTGCTAACTGCTTCAGTGTCAGAAATCCTGAAATTAAGTGCTCAAAGCATTGGCATTTAAAAAAAAATTCTTCTGAAATGGTAGAGAACCTTTTTCTGAAGGTAATGACACCAAAAGCATGAAATTTGATGGAAAACTAACAGAAGTAGGCAGGTGCAAAGTTAGCAGTCTTGGGGACAATTGACACAGTGTGATTTTGCCCACTTTGGTTCCTATTTTATGCATTTCCATTGCTTAGTTCTACTAAATTCTTAGCTTTTTCATTAGTATGCTTTCAATTATGTCAATTTAGCTGAAGAAACTGCCCATTTAACTACCACAATTACCCTATAAAGTACACAGTAGTCAGTTATTTGGCCTATTTTACACAAAATATAAAAATTTCATTTTAAAAACAGAGTTCAAAATAAACACTGTAGACATTCCAGGCACTAAAACAATATTTCCTTTGTTCATTGATCATTTCCCTCCATTTTGAATTCATCATCACACAAAAAATCAAAGATTTACCTTGTTTCTCAGATAAAATTTATCAAGGAATGATTGGTCATGGTTTACAGCCTCTCAATAACTGAATCAGACCCAGTAAAAACCCATAAAACAGACTAGGGGGTGTAGAGAGATTGCTTACCTGTGCTCAGGAAAATCAACAAAATCAAATATTTCTGTAACTTAAGCCCGGTTTCAAACTACTACCAGTCTGGAAACCAACCAAAATCATCTTTGTTTCTGTCAAATGATATCAAGAAACAGCCAATAAAACCATTAAAACTCCTAGAAAACACCTCAGTATTGTTATTTTAAATCAAACACAGGGTCAAAGTTCTGCTTTTCCCATCATGCACTGCATGGGGTTGGAATTTTTTTATGCTGTGCACACTTACCACTCACAGCTTATCTGAGGGAGCTGAGCTGAAAGAAGTAGATCTTCTTAACTGACCCTGGCATCAGTGACCTAGATCTATGAATGAGTTAGTGAAGGGGTTAATCATCTATTGTTTTCTGTATTTGAAATTGTTCTTTAAAGGATTTTAAATATCAATTTCTAGCACATGGCACGTCAACTGTGGAGTTACTTGGAACCTAGTACTAGTCAGTTCCATGTAATGAGTACAGAGCTGCTGCTCCAGTTGCACAACTTGACACTGCCTCATGGACCCAGTTCTACTCTAACATCTGCTCCACCACAATCATCCATTTCCATCGTTGAGAGACAAATTCTTCTTGCTCTGACTTGTCCACTTCCAGTTGCTGCAGCCAGGGAAAAGGTGCGTTAAAATCTATTTTAATTTAGACTTCAGAAATGACATGAAAATTAAATTTAGTGTAAAAAATTCACCCATTTAATTTTAAATAAACATTTCAGTTTGTGAGACTTTGCTGTTTATTCATTGTTATTGTAACAGTATTAAAAATAGATATTAAGAGTCATTCAAAATTTGGGGTCTCTTGTTACTTTTTTGTTTCATTTACAGTGCCCACAAAAACAACCCAGACCTCCCCTTTGTTGTTACGAAAATTTAAAAAAACAATACTGTATAAACATTATAGAAAAAAATCTATATAGGTGGTAGGTTGGCAGACAGCAACCACCCAGGGATGTACTACCGTCCTGCCAAGTGAGTGTAAAATGAAAGCCTGTAATTGTTTTATATGATGGTAGGATTGCTGGTGTCTTTTGCATGTCTCATAAACATGCAAGATTTCAGGTACGTCTTGCTGTGCCACACATACATGTACAAGCATATACTGTATATACACACTCCTCTGGGTTTTCTTCTATTTTCTTACTAGTTCATGTTCTTGTTTATTTTCTCCTATCTCCATGGGGAAGTAGAACAGGCTTCTTCCTCCATAAGCCATGTGTGTTGTATTAGGCGACTAAAATGCTGGGAGCAAGGGGCTAGCAACCCCTTCTGTATACATTACTAAAGTTTAAAAGAGAAACTTTTTTTTTTTTTTTTTTTTTTTTTTTTTTGCCATCCTGCTTTGGGATGGCAAAAAGACAAAGAAAAAAATTTTAATTGTTGGTACTTAAATTAATATATAACAGCCATTTGGGCATGCTTTATGCTTTCACTCAGATTCCTGAAGTAATCAGTGAATTAACTGGTTGGCCCAAATGTCCTTGATCTCCTGCTGCAGGTACGACCTGGATAAAATGTTCAGAATTCCATCTTTATTTTTTCATGATCTTCCATTCATTCTTAATAGGATTGAGGTCTGGACTATTCCCTAGCCACTGTAAAACCTCAGTATTTTTCTCAGCAAGCCACTTGGTTACTTGTTTTTGGGCTTGTGACATACCGGATGTGCCTCCATTATAAACAGTATAAAGAGGTTTGGATTCATATTGCATTTTGATAATGTACTTCTTCTCAATGTTTTCTGGAGGTATTTGTTAATTCTCTTGAGTTAATGCAAGAGACCGAGGTATGTATCACCTCTGTATGTGCCTACATATGGCAGTGAGGTAAGGTATGCTGAGCATTGCTCTACCCCCGAAGTGCCCAGGATTTGTAGCTGCATTTAGTATCATGTATTTTTGTACCAGGTGGATAAATATGAGTTATTCAAAGATGAATGATGAGGAAAAAGCCCACATCTTGGCTTGTTGACAAGAAAAAGTCACCATAAAGGAAATTTGTCACTCTACTGGATCAACGAAGTCCAGTGTAATGGTGTTACTTGCTGCTGTCCTTGGTCTCTCATCAGACATCGCTTCCACCATGAAACCTCATATTGGATGACCAATAAGGATGTCTAATCACACAGATAACATTCTGCACAGAGAACCAGGTAGAAATCCATATATAATTGTATCACAGCTCAAAGAAATGCATCCTGAACTCCTGGGTGACTTCTTGATTCAGTGTATCCAACACTGCCTGCAAAAGGACCTTCACCTACCAAGTTGTGCCGCAGAGAAATTCAGTTTGTCAGGAAATATGTGCACTGGAGTGTTGATGACTGGAAAGAAGCTATGTGGTCTGATGAATCCACATTTCAGTGCATTCATGGTCGTCAAAGCATATGCAGGTATGATCCTACATTCAAAGTGAGTACCATAAAACACCCACAATCCATTATGGTTCAGGCTTGCTTTAGTGATTAACTTGGTTGTGAGGGTTCGCTCTTCCTTCTCAAAAATGTTACAATTAATGCCAATTGCTACATCACTGTTTTTGAGGATCATTTTATTTTTTTTATTAGCACACTGGCCGATTCCCACCAAGGCAGGGTGGCCCGAAAAAGAAAAACTTTCACCATCATTCACTCCATCGCTGTCTTGCCAGAAGGGTGCTTTACGCTACAGTTTTTAAACTGCAACATTAACACCCCTCCTTCAGAGTGCAGGCACTGTACTTCCCATCTCCAGGACTCAAGTCCGGCCTGCCGGTTTCCCTGAATCCCTTCATAAATGTTACTTTGCTCACACTCCAACAGCACGTCAAGTACTAAAAACCATTTGTCTCCATTCACTCCTATCAAACACGCTTATGCATGCCTGCTGGAAGTCCAAGCCCCTCGCACACAAAACCTCCTTTACCCCCTCCCTCCAACCTTTCCTAGGCCGACCCCTACCCCGCCTTCCTTCCACTACATTATGGTTCAGGCTTGCTTTAGTGATTAACTTGGTTGTGAGGGTTCACTCTTCCTTCTCAAAAATGTTACAATTAATGCCAATTGCTACATCACTGTTCTTGAGGATCATCTGCTGAATATTTTCAAAATTCACAACTGCATCAACTTTATACATGATAGTACCTCTTGTCACAAGGCCAAAAAAGTAACCAAGTGGCTGGCTGAGGAAAAATATTGAGGTTTTACAGTGGCCAAGAAATAGTTTAGGCCTCAATCATATTAAGAATGCCTGGATTATCATGAAAAAAAGATGGAATCCTGACACATTTCATCCATGTCATGACTGCAGCATTTTGCATTTGGGTCAGCCAGTTATCCATTGATTACTTCAGGACTCTAAGGGAAAAGCATGACCAAATGACTTCAAATGGTCATCAAAAGCAAGGGGAAGATGACAAAATATTAATGCAAGTAACACATACATATTATGTATTGTTGCTTTTTAACGATTTTTGTAATGAAGGGGAGGGGTTTGGATTATTTTCGTGGGCACTGTAGCTGTAGGTATATTTTTTTTATTTCTATATTACAGTACAGAACAAAACAAAGGCAACAGTTTGCAGTTGTGTCTCTTTTATTATGGTAGAATATTCAGAGAGATTAATCAATAGTCTTGGTTATTTAGATTCACTTGAAATATTGAATAAGTAAAAGCAACCTTTTTTTTTTTTTGCGAGTAATTTACTGTTAAATAAAATAATGATCATTATTTAGTTGTAGCTACAGTTAGAGTAAGAGGTAGATGGGAAAAGAGGAAGGTGGCAACAACAAGTAAGAGGGAAGTGAAAGTGTATAAACTAAGGGAGGAGGAAGTTCGGGTGAGATATAAGCGACTATTGGCAGAAAGGTGGGCTAGTGCAAAGATGAGTAGTGGGGGGGTTGAAGAGGGTTGGAATAGTTTTAAAAATGCAGTATTAGAATGTGGGGCAGAAGTTTGTGTTATAGGAGGGTGGGGGCAGGAGGAAAGAGGAGTGATTGGTGGAATGATGAAGTAAAGGTGTGATAAAAGAGAAAAAGGTAGCTTATGAGAGGTTTTTACAAAGCAGAAGTGTTATAAGAAGAGCAGAGTATATGGAGAGTAAAAGAAAGGTAAAGAGAGTGGTGAGGAGAGTGCAAAAGGAGAGCAGATGATAGAGTGGGAGAGGCACTGTCAAGAAATTTAATGAAAATAAGAAAAAATTTTGGAGTGAGTTAAACAAGTAAGAAAGCCTAGGGAAAATATGGATTTGTCAGTTAAAAACAGAGTAGGGGAGTTAGTAGATGGGGAGATGGAGGTATTGGGTAGATGCGAGAATATTTGAGGAACTTTTAAATGTTAAGGAAGAAAACAGAGGCAGTAATTTCATGCACTGGTCAGGGAGTATACCATCTTTTAGGAGTGAAGAAGAGCAGAATGTAAGTGTGGGGGAGGTACGTGAGGCATTACGTAAAATGAAAGGGGGTAAAGCAGCTGGAACTGATGGGATCATGACAGAAATGTTAAAAGCAGGGGGGATATAGTGTTGGAGTGGTTGGTACTTTTGTTTAATAAATGTATGAAGAGGGGAAGGTACCTAGGGATTGGCAGAGAGCATGTATAGTCCCTTTATATAAAGGGAAAGGGGACAAAGAGACTGTAAAAATTATAGAGGAATAAGCTTACTGAGTATACCAGGAAAAGTGTACGGTAGGGTTATAATTGAAAGAATTAGAGATAAGACAGAATGTAGGATTGCGGAGAGCAAGAGGTTTTAGAGTGGGTAGGGGATGTGTAGATCAGGTGTTTACATTGAAGCATATATGTGAACAGTATTTAGATAAAGATAGGGAAGTTTTATATTGCATTTATGGATTTAGAAAAGGCATATGATAGAGTGGATAGAGGAGCAATGTGGCAGATGTTGCAAGTATAATGGAATAGGTGGTAAGTTATTAAATGCTGTAAAGGTTTTTATGAGGATAGTGAGGCTCAGGTTAGGGTGTGTAGAAGAGAGGGAGACTACTTCCCGGTAAAAGTAGGTCTTAGACAGGGATGTGTAATGTCACCATGGTTGTTTAATATATTTATAGATGGGGTTGTAAAGGAAGTAAATGCTAGGGTGTTTGGGAGAGGGGTGGGATTAAATTATGGGGAATCAAATTCAAAATGGGAATTGACACAGTTACTTTTTGCTGATGATACTGTGCTTATGGGAGATTCTAAAGAAAAATTGCAAAGGTTAGTGGATGAGTTTGGGAATGTGTGTAAAGGTAGAAAGTTGAAAGTGAACATAGAAAAGAGTAAGGTGATGAGGGTGTCAAATGATTTAGATAAAGAAAAATTGGATATCAAATTGGGGAGAGGAGTATGGAAGAAGTGAATGTTTTCAGATACTTGGGAGTTGACGTGTCGGCGATGGATTTATGAAGGATGAGGTTAATCATAGAATTGATGAGGGAAAAAAGGTGAGTGGTGCGTTGAGGTATATGTGGAGTCAAAAACGTTATCTATGGAGGCAAAGAAGGGAATGTATGAAAGTATAGTAGTACCAACACTCTTATATGGGTGTGAAGCTTGGGTGGTAAATGCAGCAGCGAGGAGACGGTTGGAGGCAGCGGAGATGTCCTGTTTAAGGGCAATGTGTGGTGTAAATATTATGCAGAAAATTCGGAGTGTGGAAATTAGGAGAAGGTGTGGAGTTAATAAAAGTATTAGTCAGAGGGCAGAAGAGGGTTGTTGAGGTGGTTTGGTCATTTAGAGAGAATGGATCACAGTAGAATGACATGGAAAGCATATAAATCTATAGGGAAGGAAGGCGGGGTAGGGTCGTCCTCGAAAGGGTTGGAGAGAGGGGTAAAGGAGGTTTTGTGGGTAAGGGGCTTGGACTTCCAGCAAGCGTGCGTGAGCGTGTTAGATAGGAGTGAATGGAGACGAATGGTACTTGGGACCTGACGATCTGTTGGAGTGTGAGCAGGGTAATATTTAGTGAAGGGATTCAGGGAAACCGGTTATTTTCATATAGTCGGACTTGAGTCCTGGAAATGGGAAGTACAATGCCTGCACTTTAAAGGAGGGGTTTGGGATATTGGCAGTTTGGAGGGATATGTTGTGTATCTTTATATGTTTATGCTTCTAGACTGTTGTATTCTGAGCACCTCTGCAAAAACAGTGATAATGTGCGAGTGTGGTGAAAGTGTTGAATGATGATGAAAGTATTTTCTTTTTGGGGATTTTCTTTCTTTTTTGGGTCACCCTGCCTCGGTGGGAGACGGCCGACTTGTTGAAAAAAAAAAAAAAAAAAAAAATTTACTGTTATAAAAGTATTCTAAAATTCTAAAAATCTTGCTATTCAAAACTTGTATTTCATACTACTTTTCAGATTGGGGTTCTCTGGAGTCATGAAGGCATAAGGGCAGAGTACGACAGCATAGCCATGCAACAGTGGATGACTTTGTGGCAAGTTTCACGCACTTTGTCATCTGGTCTCTCAGGAAGACGTCCAGGATTTGATAGGTGACTATTTTTCTGCTATTCTTGAAAAAGAACAAACTTTGGCATAATTCATAGATACTGTATGCTGTACAAAGTAAAACAGTAAGAACATTCTAGACACAACATGATACACTAGACTTGTGCTGGAGACAGGAAATCAGTGGCTTATCAAGGTTATTTGTATTTCACCTGATCATCCAGTAGCTTACAAGTGGGAATTACATCATGAGGTCTTTTAGTCTCTTGTGGAGCACTGGTCATGCTTTGATGTTGTCTTACCAGCCATTTTTGAAAAGTAAACACCCAATTTTCATCTCCTTTTTCCATGGTCCATGGATGTGGGCTTTTGATATAATATTTAGACTGGAGAATATTTCAGTTCTTGTATATAAAGTATTTCGTCTGACTCCACTTAGCCTACCTTTTCAAACTGCATCTCCTGCACTCTCACAGACAAATGCAGGCTATTTGAACCATGGTTCTTGGCTTTGTTGTTGATGAACAAGAGCAAGTTATATCTCCATTATGTTTAACTAACTGAACCCACACACCAGGGTCTCACACCAAGTTAGGCATGTTTGGTTTTGGGCTTTTTAGGTACACACTTGGATGTTACACATTGAAGATGCTTGGTTGGTTCCCAACCATTATTGTGCCGCCATTAACTCTTTCAAGGTTTTGGCCGTACTAGCACGGCTTACGGCCCAGGGTTTTTGACGTACTAGTATGCCTAAATTCTAGCGCCCTCAAATCTATTGAGAGAAAGCTGGTAGGCCTACATATGAAAGAATGGGTCTATGTGGTCAGTGTGTGCAGTATAAAAAAAATCCTGCAGCACACAGTGCGTAAGGAGAAAAAAAAAAACTTTGTGTTTTTGGATTAAAACAGTGACTTTGCACTATATTTTCGTATGGTATTTATTGTTGTATTCTAGTTTTCCTGGTCTCATTTTATAGAATGGAAGACATATTACAGAAATTGAGATGATTTTGACTGGTTTTACTATGAAAAGTACCTTGAAATTGAGCTCAAATTAGCAGAAATGTTTGATTTTTACCCAAGTTCAAAAGTAAACAAATCATGCCAAGCGTCCAATACACGTCAACTGGTGAGTCTAATATTCTTTCACAAGTGTGCTGATATTATTTATACCATTTTTACACTAATGCAGTAGTCTGCATAACAGTAAATTTTCTATTTTTTGTAAAATAAAAATTCAAAGTGGAAAGCCAAAGAAATATAAGAGAGGCCTGGGGATGTGACTAACGAACAGAGAACTTGTTATTTTAGTGCCAGGAATGTCTTTCTTGTTTATTCTGGACCCTATTTGGAAATTGGCATCTTTTGAAATTGGCAAAATTGCTAAATTCTGACCACTGTATTGGATAGTTGTAATTGGTAAATGGGTGGTTTCTTGTACTCATTCGATAGAAAAAATGGAGTTCTAGCAAAATAGTTATGATTTTTGTCGACTAGTACACTGGAATTGGCCGAAAATAGGGTTCAAAGTGGGCAAAATCACCGATGCGTAAACATCGTCGAGACCGCTAACTTCGTAAGAGCATAATTCCGTAAGTTTTCCATCAAATTTCATACTTTTGGTGAGATTATGATTGGGAAAAGATCTTTTCATAAGAAAAAATTTTTTTTTTTTTTTTTTTTTTTGAAATTTGGGGGACCCTGAGAACAAGTCCCTGAGAGGGCCTGTGGACCCTGAAAGGGTTAAGCATCACTTTGCATCAGTTCAGATAGTTACAGTGGACCCCCGCATACCGATGGCACCACATAGCGATTAATCCGCATACCGCTTGCTTTAATCGCAAAAATTTTGCCTCGCATACCGCTTAAAAACCCGCTCACCGATTTTCGTCCGAGACGCGTCCAATGTGCGCCCTCAGCCAGCCTCACATGTGCCGCCCGTGCCATTGTTTACCAGCCAGCCTCCGCGGTAACATTCAAGCATACAATCGGAATATTTCGTATTATTACAGTGTTTTCGGTGCTGTTTCTGGAAAATAAGTGACCATGGGCCCCAAGAAAGCTTCTAGTGCCAACCCTACACCAATAAGGGTGAGAATTCCAATAGAAATGAAGAAAGAGATCATTGATAAGTATGAAAGTGGAGTGCGTATCGCCGACCTGGTCAGGTTGTACAAGAAACCCCAATCAAACCATCGCTACTATTGTGGGCACCAGAAAGGCAATCAAGGAAGCTGTTCTTGCCAAAGGTTTAAACTGTGTTTTCGAAACAAAGATCGCAAGTGATGGAAGATGTTGAGAGACTCTTATTGGTGTGGATAAATGAAAAACAGCTAGCAGGAGATAGCATCTCTCAAGCGATCATAAGCGAAAAGGCTAGGAAGTTGCATCAGGATTTAATTAAAAAAATGCCTGCAACTAGTGCTGATGTGAGTGAATTTAAGGCCAGCAAAGGTTGGTTTGAGAGATTTAAGAAGCGTAGTGGCATACATAGTGTGATAAGCATGGTGAGGCTGCAGTTCGGACCACAAAGCGGCTGAAAAATATGTGCATGAATTCAAGGAGTACATAGAGACTGAAGGACTGAAACCTGAACAAGTGTTTAATTGTGATGAAACAGGCCTGTTTTGGAAGAAAATCCCAAGCAGGACCTACATTACTCAGGAGGAAAGGCACTCCCAGACATAAGCCTATGAAAGACAGGCTTACTTTGTTGATGTGTTCCAATGCTAGTGGTGATTGCAAAGTTAAGCCTTTATTAGTGTATCACTCTGAAACTCCCAGAGCGTTCAGGCAAAAGAATGTCCTCAAGGAGAATTTGTGTGTGCTGTGGAGGGCAAACAGTAAAGCATGGGTCACTAGGGACTTTTTCTATAACTGGTTACACCATGCATTTGCCCCCAATGTGAAAGATTACCTAACTGAAAAGAAATTAGAACTTAGTGCCTCCTGGTGTTAGACAATGCCCCTGGTCATCCTACAGACGTGGCAGAGCGACTTTATGGGGACATGAGCTTCATTAAGGTGAAGTTTTTGCCTCCTAATACCACTCCTCTCCTGCAGCCCATGGACCAGCAGGTTATTGCAAACTTCAAAAAACTGTACACAAAAGCTCTGTTTGAAAGGTGCTTTGTAGTGACCTCAGAAACTCAACTGACTCTAAGAGAGTTTTGGAGAGAGCACTTTAATATCCTCAATTGTGTAAACCTTATAGGTAAGGCTTGGGAGGGAGTGACTAAGAAGACCTTGAACTCTGCTTGGAAGAAACTGTGGCCAGAATGTGTAGACAAAAGGGATTTTGAAGGGTTTGAGGCTAACCCTGAGAGGATTATGCCAGTTGTGGAATCCATTGTGGCATTGGGAAAGTCCTTGGGGTTGGAGGTTAGTGGGGAGGATGTGGAAGAGTTGGTGGAGGAGGACAATGAAGAACTAACCACTGATGAGCTGATAGATCAACTTCAAGAGCAAGAGGCCAGACCTGAGAAAACTGGTTCAGAGGAGGGGAGAGAGAAATTGAAGAAGTTGCCTACTACAAAGATTAAGGAAATGTGTGCAAAGTGGCTTGAAGTGCAAACCTTTTTTGATGAAAATCGCCCTCACACAGCTATTGCAATTCGTGCTGGTGATTATTACACTGACAATGTTGTGAAACACTTTAGGGAAGTCATAAAGGAACGAGAGGTACAGGCAACTATGGACAGATATGTTGTGCGAAAGAAGTCCAGTGACTCTGAAGCTGGTCCTAGTGGCATTAAAAGAAGAAGGGAAGTAACCCCAGAAAAGGACTCGACACCTCAAGTCTTAATGGAAGGGGATTCCCCTTCTAAACACTAACACTCTCTCTCCCCTCCTCCCATCCCATCAATCATCACCAGATCTTCAATAAAAGTAAGTGTCATGTAATTGTGCATGCCTGTTTCAGTTTGTGTGTACTAAAATTAACATTTCATGTGGTAAAAAAAATTTTTTTTCATACTTTTGGGTGTCTTGCACGGATTAATTTTATTTCCATTATTTCTTATGGGGAAAATTCATTCACATACCGATTATTTCGCATAACAATTACCCCTCTTGCACGGATTAAAATCGGTATGCGGGGGTCCACTGTATTACCCTTTTCTTCGTTATGAACTATGTTGGGTTCCCATGGGGTTGATTATCATGTTTTATGCTGATGATATACAAGTCTTCATCTGGGTTCTATATGTGGAAAAAGCAAAACTCTCTTAGTTCTCTTTTTGCTGGATATTTGGACTTTGATGACATAGAGAAAATTGAAACTAAATGAGGTAAAGGCAGATTTTGATTGTTGGGGGTGAGGGGAACCTCAAGGAAGATTTTTGTGCTTTGTGGTACTGTCAGTTTGCAGCCTGTGGGATCAGTGAGAGATCTGGGTGAAAGCCAGGATTCTTCATTGTCATTTGTTTAACACATTAACCAGATTGTTAAATTTTGCAATTTTTCATATTTGTTATTACTCTACAGTCAAAATATATTGATAGAAAATCTTTTTCCAAAGGTAATGAAACCAGAAACTTATGGAATTATGCTCTCGCAAAGTTAGCGGTCTCAGCGATATTTATGCATGGGCAGTTTCACCCACTTTACGCTCTATTTTTGGCCAGTCAACTAGACTCGTAGCTATTTTACTAGTATTCCTTCTATTCTATCAAATGAGTATAAGAAACTGCCCATTTACCTGTTTGAACTACCCAATAAGGTGATCAGAATTCAGTAAGTTGGCCAATTTCACACAAAATTCAACTATTGACAGTTTGAAAATAGGGTCCAGAATAATCATTGTAGACATACCTGGCATGTTGAGGTGGTTTGGGCATGTAGAGAGGATGGAACAAAATAGAATGACTTTGAAAGTGTATAAATCTGTAGTGGAGGGAAGGAGGGGTAGGGATCGGCCTAAGAAAGGTTGGAGGGAGGGGGTAAAGGAGGGTTTGTGTGCGAGGGGCTTGGACTTCCAGCAAGTATGCGTGAGTGTGTTAGAAAGGAGTGAATGGAGACAAATGTTTTTAGGACTTGACATACTGTTAGAGTGTGAGCAGGGTAACATTTATGAAGGGATTCAGGGAAACCGGCAGGCTGGACTTCAGTCCTGAAGATGGGAAGTACAGTGCCTGCACTCTGAAGGAGAGGTGTTAATGCTGTAGTTTTATAACTGTAGTGTAAGCACACGTCTGGCAAGACAGTGATGTAGTGAATGATGATGAAAGTTTTTCTTTTTCGGGCCACCCTACCTTGGTGGGAAATGGCTGATGTGTTAATAATAAAAAATTATAATAATTCCTCTACTTCTTAGTCACGTCTCCAGGCCGCTCTTGTATTACACTTGCTTTTCATTTTGAATTTTTATTCACACAAAAAATAGAAAATTCACTTTTATGCAGACTACTGCATTATTATAATAATTATATATATAATGTCAGTGCATTCCTAAATGTGTATTAGACTGGTGAGTTGGACGCGAATTGGACAAGTGATGTCATTTATGTACTCTCGAATACCAACAAAAATTGAATATTTCCACTACTTTGAGCTCAATTTTGTGCTGCTTTCAATCCTGAAACTAAACCAAATCATCTCTCTTTCTGTAATATAACTTCCATTCTATCAAATGAGACCAAGAAACTGAGAATACAACAATAAGAACCATACAAAAATACACCACAAAGTTGCTGTTTTAAACCATAAACACAGTCAGTTTTTTTCTCATGCACTGCATGCTGCATGATTTTTTTATATGGTGCATGCTTCCCACAGCTTATCTGAGCGAGCTGACCTCATGGTGTCATACTACAGGACTGAAACTGACTTCGGAGCCATGGTACAATGGGACCGACACTGAAAGGGTTAACTACTTATTAAAAAAGAAGTCATTCTGTACCAAATCTTGCAGCTAGATTAGTATTTTGCTCCCAACAGGGGGTTTCCTCTAGTCCCTACTTGTATGAGTTACATTGGCTCTGTTTCAAGACAGGAACTGAATTAAAACTGTTTAGTAACATTTAAAGCTATTAAGTTTAAGGAATCCAAGTATCTTACTGATAGGCTTGTACCTTTTACGTCACATTTGAGAATATTTCTGGGAATTGCTGAGGACCCTTTTAGACTGATTGAGAGAGCCTTGTGCTGTTGGAGTGAAATCATTCACAGGAAGAGCTTTTTCTTATATATTGTTCAGCAGATTGCCAATGTCTGTTAAGAGTCAGGAATCTGTTCATGCTTTCCAGTTTCAGTTGAAATCACATATCTTTTCTAGAGCTTATGAGCCTGTTCCCTGTTCATATCATCAGTCTTGAATATAAACTTCAGTATTTGTTCATCACAGCTGTTGTTGCATGAATGCAACAGGCAATCAGGAATAACAAAATCCCAAATCATCATCATAGTCATCATCATTGTTGCTGTCATCATCATTGGCATTGTCATCATCATCATCTAAATACATAGTTCCTCAGATCTTTATCTATGTGTTTTACATGGGTAACTCTCTTTGGACTATTAACTGTACAGGTATAAATGAATTAAAGAGGAGCATTTATGCCATTTAGGCACAGTATTAACACACAAACTGATAAGTTGCAGATGCCACAAAGTTTGGTTTTTATTAAGTGTTCCCATTCTATTATGCTTGCTCCAGTAGTGGTAACTGGATGGGGTTCTGGCATTCATCAAGACTGAGCCCACATTTGCCTCATCCAAAAATGAAAATATGTACCTAACTTAGAAAGTCGTCTTTCTGTTGTCTTCAGCAGTAGAACCTGAAAAGGATTTTATAGGCATTTTTTGCAGCCTTGGAATCCTTCAGTACAATATATGTAGCCTTTCAGCTGCTGGATACAAGCATTACATTTATTCTTAGGCTGGATTTCTTCCTCGAAAGGTATTAATGATCAAATTACCAGTGAAAAAGACTTAAGATTATGGGATTATTAGAAGTTAGTCTAGTATCGTTATTATGCACCCATGCCCATCCTGTGGGTGGTCATTATTAGAAGGTAGAGGTGTTCTTTAAAGCTTCCTATCTCTGTATTTTGAAAGTGTCTATAAGATAAATCAAATGTTTCCTGGAGAAATTTAAAATTTATAATTCTATTAAAGAATTTGAGTACTGATAACATTTTTTTTTATTTTTCCAGGTGTCTGTTTTTAATGGTTGAACGTTTGCGTGGGGATAGTGGCACTGAACGAAGCCTCGCCCATGCCTGGCTTGCTACTGCTTTGCAACGTAATGACACTGCTAGATTAATGGATCCAATTCTAGTTGTACTGTTACATCCTCACACTCGTAGAGTCAGTGTACAACATGTTAATATTGAAAAGTTAACCCCTGCTCAACAGTGCCAAGGAAACAAATGTGGAATAGAAGAATCTCAGATATATGCCATTAGTTCTGAAGGTGGAGAGGTCATGTATCATGTGAGCAAAGAAGGAAGACAGCCTCAGGCTAAAGGAAAGCAAATACATGTACCTACACCAGCCAAACACATATTAGCCTTCACCTCTATATCCAAAGATAACAAGAAAGTAGTAACTCATCATGCAGATTTTACAGAATTTGAGTTGCCATCTAGTCATGAGCAGCCACAGTTGCACTCATCCATTTCTCTTATGGTAAACCCTTTCATGCAGCATCCATGGATAGACATGGAAGATCTTGCAAAAATGAACAAGCCACTAAATCTTTCCAATGCAGTTCGAATACAAAATGGAAGCTATCAAAAATCACCAACAGTTATTTTACAAGATGACATTAAAAATATTAAATCAGCTAAGTTTGATGAAGAAGAGGAAGAGGAGTGGACACCAACCAAGGTGGTTAAAAGCATTTTGGATGATATTATAGATGCAGTAGTAACTTCTCATTACAAATATTCTGAGAGTGATGAGTCTAGTGACCAGGACACTACATCTCAGTCAGTGACAAGTGATGGAGTTATTCCAGAGTTAACTAGACATCCATACCATTCTCATATGCTTCTGTATATGCAAGTTGTTGACAGTGGACAGTGTCTAAATGGATTGCTAATGATTCGTAATATTATTGAAGCACAGCCAAAGAATTCTCTTTTGGCTCTTGCATCAACAAGCATAAATACCTTACAGTCAACATCACCATTGATAATATTACTGGCAAGACATCGTCGCTCTGTTTTTGGTGATGGTTTTGATGGCGGCAGTGTTACTGATATGGTGAGCCAATTTCGGTCCACCATGTATCTGCAAGTAGTGATCACTGTGTGCCTTTATTACCTACGCTCGTATTATCCTTGCCTTCCACACTTACGATTAAGAGATGAGCACCTACATGATAACCAGGAAGTCCAGGTAGCATCAGCAGAGGTTCTCATTCTTATTTTTACTCATTTGTGTCCTATGGTGACTGATTCACCTCGGGGTTTTACCCCTTATATTACTGACTTGCTCAGTAAGTGCAAAGTACAGAAATGTGTACTGCACTGCATGCTATCCACTGTACATGCTATGACCTCAGCTGGAACAACAGTAACTTCAGAGCAAAAATTCTCAGCTGGCCAGGAGATGCGTACTTTTACAGAGGAAGTTCTTGAATATAACTGCGGCTCTCCTGGCCTGTCAGGTACTATCCCACGTCAAGAGACCTATCTAGCAAGGATCATTGATCTTACTCTTGCTTTAATTCGGTTAGAAGATACCCTGGCAACTGACCGGGCAGATAGTGTTGTGGTCAGAGACCCACCTAGTGTGAGTATGAAATATTCTGGATTTAGTGCTACTAAATACCAGCCAGGACAGCCTATTCCAGCACAACCTATGTTTATGGAAGTACTGACAGTTGCACTTAAACAACATCATTTACGCCACCTTCATGGATCCTGGTTGCATTTGTTTACAGCAGCATTGCCTCATATGGGCCCTTCACTACCAAACAACAGTCTCCGTGTAATATATTTAGTATGCGAATTGCTTGAGTGCATGGCTCGTTATTACTTTCCCGGTACTCTTTCTCCACAGGCCCCTCCAGACTACACACTGACTTTGCTGCACTCACTCACTACCACAGTTCACTATTGTCTCCTAGACCCAACACAATCACCAGCATTTGGATCCTCTTCATCTACGTCAACCTCGGCTATCTCGCCATCGAATCAGAGCACTGGTCAGATTTTGTATAACCTCCTTCATGTTTTCTCTCCAGTAGGAGAAATAATGGATGCACCTGTTGATAACAGTGGCTTGGATCCACCAGTTTGTGCACGCCACACAATTTTGTGCCACTTACCTCGAATCATTTCTGCATTGCTTTCTCTCTGGGCTGCAACAGGAGACAACCAAGAGTCTGCCTTTGTGCTGGGTAACAGACGGGGAGTTAGACAGCAAATAGTGGAGCTTCTCTCACCCATTTGCCATCACCAGACCCCACATCTCTTGGCAGCTGTCAGTGTTGTGTGGCAGGTGAGAATTCAAGGTTCTCTCCATATAAGTATTTTCTCTGAAAATTAATTCGCTACATCTATATGATGTTTGATGTTTCAAGTTTTTTGACATGTTGAAAATGTAGAATTTTCAGTATATTTATACAAACTATTTATTTACCATGCCTTCAGTTTTACTGTTATTACCATCTTATTTCAGCCTTTATAAATTTGGCAAAGCAAAAACTCCAACTCTCACAGTAAACTAAGAAGTTGTTCACATTCTTGAGTATGCAGCATGCACATTTTTTGGTTCCAGGTTTTGGAATTATCTTGGACAACTATCTCATTGCATTCTTATGCCTTCTTTTTTAGAATTCTTCATAATATATATGGGTGAGTCTTTATTAGCAGATTTTGCTGAGAATAAGAAACCGTTTTGAACAGAAATCAGTAAAGCAAGAAAGTTTAGAGAGCGAAGGGATTTGGCAGTTAAAAATGAGAGAATGAGATAGTAAATAGGGAGGTGGAGGCACTGAGAAGGTGGAGAGAATATTTTGACATGTTGTATGTTAATAATAAAAGGGAGATGGTGATTTCATGCATTAGGCAGAAAAGAATAACATCATATAGGAATGAGAAGAGCCTGAGGTGGTTGCTGAGAAAGTTCACTTGGTAGTGGGTAAAATGAAAGGAGCAGCTGTGACAGATGGGATTAAAGGCAGGTGGGATATAATGATGGAATAGTTGATGTATTTGTTCAATAGATACAAGAGAGAAGGGAAGGGAAGGTACCTAAAGATTGGAAGAAAGTATAAATAGAGACCAAGTATGAGGGGAAAAAGGGGACAAGAGAAAATGCAAGAGTTATAGAGGGATAAGCCTCTTAAATATACCAGATACAATTATTATCGAAAGAGGTAGGAGTACGACAGAAAGTAGGACTGCAGAGGAGCAAGGAGGATTGAGAAAGAGTAAGGGATGTGAAGAAAAGTGTTTGCATTGAAATATAAATGAACAATACTTGGGTGTTATGAATGAGAAGAAGCTGGATGTCCTAGCTTTAAGTGAAACAAAGCTGAAGGGGGTGGGAGAGTTTCAATGGAGAGGAATAAATGGAATTAGGTCAGGGGTTTCAAATAGAGTTAGAGCTAAAGAAAGAGTACCAATAATGTTCAAGGATAAGCTATGGCAGGAAAAGAGGGACCATAAATGTATTAATTCAAAGATTATGTGGAGTAAAATAAAGATTGGATGTGAAAAGTGGGTTATAGTAAGCGTGTATGCACCTGGAGAAGAGAGAAGTGTAGAGGAGAGAGAGAGATTCTGGGAATTGTTGAGTGAATGCATGGGGAGTTTTGAATAAAATGTGAGAGTAATGGTGGTTGGGGATTTCAATGCTAAAGTGGGTAAAAATGTTATGGAGGGAGTAGTAGGTAAATTTGGGGTGCCAGGGGTAAATGTAAATGGGGAGCCTTTAATTGAGCTATGTGTAGAAAGAGATTTGGTAATAAGTAATACATATTTTATGAAAAAGAGGATAAATAAATATGCAAGGTATGATGTAGCACGTAATGAAAGTAGTTTGTTAGATTATGTATTGGTGGATAAAAGGTTGATGGGTAGGCCCCAGGATGTACATCTTTATAGAGGGGCAACTGATATATCGGATCATTATTTAGTTGTAGCTACAGTTAGAGTAAGAGGTAGATGGGAAAATTGGAAGGTGGCAACAACAAGTAAGCGGGAGGTGAAAGTGTATAAATTAAGGGAGGAGGAAGTTCGGGTGAGATATAAGCGACTATTGGCAGAAAGGTGGGCTAGTGCAAAGATGAATAGTGGGGGGGTTGAAGAGGGTTGGAATAGTTTTAAAAATGCAGTATTAGAATGTGGGGCAGAAGTTTGTGGTTATAGGAGGGTGGGGGCAGGAGGAAAGAGGAGTGATTGGTGGAATGATGAAGTAAAGGGTGTGATAAAAGAGAAAAAGGTAGCTTATGAGAGGTTTTGCAAAGCAGAAGTGTTATAAGAAGAGCAGAGTATATGGAGAGTAAAAGAAAGGTGAGGAGAGCAGTGAGAGAGTGCAAAAGGAGAGCAGATGATAGAGTGGGAGAGGCACTGTCAAGAAATTTTAATGAAAATAAGAAAAAATTTTGGAGTGAGTTTAACAAGTTAAGAAAGCCTAGGGAAAGTATGGATTTGTCAATTAAAAACAGAGTAGGGGAGTTAGTAGATGGGGAGAGGGAGGTATTAGGTAGATGGCGAGAATATTTTGAGGAACTTTTAAATGTTGAGGAAGAAAGGGAGGCAGTAATTTCATGCACTAGTCAGGGAGGTATACCATCTTTTAGGAGTGAAGAAGAGCAGAATGTAAGTGTGGGGGAGGTACGTGAGGCATTACATAGAATGAAAGGGGATAAAGCAGCTGGAACTGATGGGATCATGACAGAAATGTTAAAAGCAGGGGGGGATATAGTATTGGAGTGGTTGGTACTTTTGTTTAATAAATGTATGAAAGAGGGGAAGGTACCTAGGGATTGGCGGAGAACATGTATAGTCCCTTTATATAAAGGGAAATGGGACAAAAGAGATTGTAAAAATTATAGAGGAATAAGTTTACTGAGTATACCAGGAAAAGTGTACAGTAGGGTTATAATTGAAAGAATTAGAGGTAAGACAGAATGTAGGATTGCGGATGAGCAAGGAGGTTTCAGAGTGGGTAGGGGATGTGTAGATCAAGTGTTTACATTGAAGCATATATGTGAACAGTTTTTAGATAAAGGTAGGGAAGTTTTTATTGCATTTATGGATTTAGAAAAGGCATATGATAGAGTGGATAGAGGAGCAATGTGGCAGATGTTGCAAGTATATGGAATAGGTGGTAAGTTACTAAATGCTGTAAAGAGTTTTTATGAGGATAGTGAGGCTCAGGTTAGGGTGTGTAGAAGAGAGGGAGACTACTTCCCGGTAAAAGTAGGTCTTAGACAGGGATGTGTAATGTCACCATGGTTGTTTAATATATTTATAGATGGGGTTGTAAAAGAAGTAAATGCTAGGGTGTTCGGGAGAGGGGTGGGATTAAATTATGGGGAATCAAATTCAAAATGGGAATTGACACAGTTACTTTTTGCTGATGATACTGTGCTTATGGGAGATTCTAAAGAAAAATTGCAAAGGTTAGTAGATGAGTTTGGGAATTTGTGTAAAGGTAGAAAGTTGAAAGTGAACATAGAAAAGAGTAAGGTGATGAGGGTGTCAAATGATTTAGATAAAGAAAAATTGGATATCAAATTGGGGAGGAGGAGTATGGAAGAAGTGAATGTTTTCAGATACTTGGGAGTTGACGTTTCGGCGGATGGATTTATGAAGGATGAGGTTAATCATAGAATTGATGAGGGAAAAAAGGTGAGTGGTGCGTTGAGGTATATGTGGAGTCAAAAAAACGTGATCTATGGAGGCAAAGAAGGGAATGTATGAAGGTATAGTAGTACCAACACTCTTATATGGATGTGAAGCTTGGGTGGTAAATGCAGCAGCGAGGAGACGGTTGGAGGCAGTGGAGATGTCCTGTCTAAGGGCAATGTGTGGTGTAAATATTATGCAGAAAATTCGGAGTGTGAAAATTAGGAAAAGGTGTGGAGTTAATAAAAGTATTAGTCAGAGGGCAGAAGAGGGGTTGTTGAGGTGGTTTGGTCATTTAGAGAGAATGGATCAAAGTAGAATGACATGGAAAGCATATAAATCTATAGGGAAAGGAAGGCGGGGTAGGGGTCGTCCTCGAAAGGGTTGGAGAGAGGGGGTAAAGGAGGTTTTGTGGGCGAGGGGCTTGGACTTCCAGCAAGCGTGTGTGAGCATGTTAGATAGGAGTGAATGGAGACGAATGGTACTTGGGACCTGACAATCTGTTGGAGTGTGAGCAGGGTAATATTTAGTGAAGGGATTCAGGGAAACCGGTTATTTTCATATAGTCGGACTTGAGTCCTGGAAATGGGAAGTACAATGCCTGCATTTTAAAGGAGAGGTTTGGGATATTGGCAGTTTGGAGGGATATGTTGTGTATCTTTATACGTATATGCTTCTAAACTGTTGTATTCTGAGCACCTCTGCAAAAACAGTGATAATGTGTGAGTGTGGTGAAAGTGTTGAATGATGATGAAAGTATTTTCTTTTTGGGGATTTTCTTTCTTTTTTGGGTCATCCTGCCTCGGTGGGAGATGGCCGACTTGTTGAAAAAAAAAAAATACTTAGATGAGGGTAAGGAGCTCTTTGTTGTGTTTATGGATTTAAAAGAAAGTATATTATGAGGTGCATAGTGCAGCAATGTGCCAGATGTTGCAAATGTGTAGAATAGATGGTAGGTTGCCAGAAAACAGTAAAGAGTTTTCATATGGATAGTGGGGCTCAGGAGGGGAGGAGCTATTGCTTAATGAAAGTAGGACTTAGAGATGCGTGATGTCACTATGGTTGTTTATCATATTTATGGATAGGGTTGTAAAAAGAAGTGAATGCTAGCCTGTTGGTGAGAGGTACAGGAAGGATGATGGATCTGATCAAAGTGGGAATTATCACTGTTGCTCTTTGCTGGTGGCACTTTTGGGAGATTCTAGTGATAAGTTGCAAAGATTGTTGGACAGTTGAGGAGGGAATGTAAAATAAATGAATTAAATATGAACATAGAAAAAGAGCAAGGTGATATTGGTAACAAAAAGTCTAGGCAATGAAAGCTTGAATATTAGATTGGCAGGAGGGAGTATGAAGAAGTGGATGTATTTAGATGTCTGGGAGTGGACATGTCAACGGGTAAATCTATGAAAGATGAAGTGAACCATAGAGTAAATGAAGGGGATAAAAGGTAGGGAATGTGTTAAGGCATCTGAGAAAGGAAAATGCTTATCTCTGGAGGCAAAAGGGAATGTACCAGGGAATATATGAGGCATAGGTTTTGAACATTACTGTGAGAAGGAGGCTTCTAGAGGCTTTGGAGATGTCATATTTGAGAGCATTGTGTGGTGACAATATTATACAGAGAATTCTGAGCAAAGAAATTAGAAGACTGTGTGGGTCACTAAGTGTATAATTCAGAGAGCTGAGGAGGGGATGTTTAGGTGATTTTATCATTTAGAAAGGATGGAGCAGATAGGATGATAAGGGTGCACTGCATAAATATGGAGTAGAAGGTAGGAGGAATAAGGGTCTTCCCAGGAACTATTTAAGAGAGTGGAGGGGGAAGGGGGGTAAGAGAGGCTTTCAAGTGTTAGGGGCTTGAGCCCCTAACACTTGAAATGTGATGTCAGCACACTTATGGTAAGATAGTGAATGATTGAATGAATGATGGTAAACATATTTCCTTTTTTTGGGGGAGGGGGTCACTACCTTGATGGCAAATGGTCGATAAGGTAAAGGGAAAAAAGGGAAAAAGATATGTACCGTAGCCTACATGTGACAGCTCGTCATTGTTTAATCTATGTTACTATAAACACTATAATTAATTTTTAAAATTGTAATGTTCTCATTGGTGGCATATTTGTATTTTAGCAGTTCATATAATAGTACTGAAGGGCTGGTAAAAATTCCTTTTCACCAGAGTTCTTGAACATTTCAGTCATTAGGTTTTCCTTGCTCTGCAGTGTATACAAGACACTTTATCTGCAGTACAGTGATTGCCTTTAAACCAAGTTGCTAGCAACATCTTATACACTAACATTTTGGGAGGTGATACTTATATTACTAAAGAAAATTTTGATATACATAATCTACTCCTTTTAAAAGAGTAATCATCATATTGTGTAAGAAATGCAAAATAAGAGTAAAATAATTGCACCTTGTATTGTATACAATGTGATATATGTAATTTTCACCTTATTTATGAAATTTTATCATTTTTCTTTTAATTATAGAAATGATTAGATTTTCTTGGTTTTGCTCTCAGATTGTTGTATGTATGGTATAAATTAAGAAGAACTTTACAAGAAAATCTGTTAGAATTATTTTACTGTTAGAAGTATTTGGGTTCACAAAAGATTCTGCCATTGATGCTAACAAATTTTAATAAATACAAATTTAAAGTTGTTTCCTTTGCTAATGTATAAAATTTATAATTTACAGGGTATTGGAGTAGCTGCAGCAGAAACTCTAAATGCAAATGGTAATAATGGCAGCAACAGCACTCGCAATAAACAAAGTGGAGTGGGTGGTCTTCTGTGGAGTGGCTGCACTCAACAGTTGGCTTTGGTAGAGATGATGTCATTACTGCGAGTGCTGCCATTACACACATTGGTAGCAACAGTGAAACAAGTGGTAAAACAACCACCTATTGTAGATGGTGCAAAGCAGGCAAGTTCTTTTCCTATTTACATTTTTCTTGGGATGCAAAGTTTCATGATAGACAGGAACTATTGCTTTTCTGTCTCTCCCATGCAGTACTGCACTAACTGTAGTATCATGTGCTTATATAGCACAGTTTTTTTTATGCATGGCATCATTGTAAACAAAAACTTGCACATATCCTCTTCATTCCAGAAAATTTTGTGCTGTACCCTTTTTGTTACTTAAATATGATTTTTATTTCATATTCATCACTACTGTACAGTGGAACCTCAAATTTCAATCTTAATCCGTTCCAGGAGCTAGTTCTAAATTCGAAAAGTCTGAAATTCGAAGCAATATTTCCCATAAGAAATAATGGAAATACAATTAATCTGTTACAGAAACCCAAAAATATTCACAAAAAAAATACATTTTATAGAGATTAATTACAGTTTTACATGCACACAACAAATGCTATAGTCTTTAATTATGTATAGTAATATAAAATAACATTTTTACTTACCTTTATTGAAGATTGGTGATGGCATCTGGAAGATAGGGAGGAGGAGAGAGGGAGTTGGGGTTATTGTTTGGAAGGAGAATCCCCCTCCATGAGGACTTCCGGTATCAAAGCCCTCTCTGGGGTTGCTTCCCTTCTCTGTATTTTAATGCCACTAGGACCAGCTTGAGTCATTGGACCCCAGTCTCACAAAATAACTGTCTACAGTCCTCTGTTTCTGTCTCACAAAATAACTATCCACAGTCGTCTGTTTCTGTCTCACAAAATAACTGTCCACAATCGTCTGTTTGTCTCACAAAATAACTCCACAGTCATCTGTTTCTGTCTCACAAAATAACTGTCCACAGTTGTCTGTTTCTGTCTCACAAAATAACTGTCCACAATCGTCTGTTTCTGTCTCACAAAATAACTGTCCACAGTCGTCTTTCTGTCTCACAAAATAACTGTCCACAGTCCTCTGTACATCCTGGCAAGCTCAACAAGTCTCACTCCAATCTCATACTTCTGTATTATTTCCTTCTTCACATCTATGGTGTTTCTCACTTTCTTTACCACAGGGGTACTATTAGCAAGTTTCTTTGGGCCCATGGCAGCTTATTTCACAGCCCCACAAAGCACTAAACACAATTAAATAGTCGTAAAATGTGTGAATGAGATCGCAGGTTAGTGTTCACTAAAGCATAAACAAAGCTAGACTGCTCACGGCGTCTGCACGGGGACACGGACAGAGCGGGCCAGTGGACAGGTCCGGTACCCGGTGGTCCGAAAATAGGGGCACGTTCGATAATAGGGACACAGTTTGTCCGAAAAAATGGTCTTATTTTCGAAACGTTCGATATGTGATACGTTTGATTTTTGAGGTTCCACTATATTTGTATTTTTATTGTAACATAAGAAATAATGGAAATACAATTAATCTGTTCCAGAAACCCAAAAATATTCACAAAAAAAATACATTTTATAGAGATTAATTACAGTTTTACATGCACACAACAAATGCTATAGTCTTAAATTATGTATAGTAATATAAAATAACATTTTTACTTGCCTTTATTGAAGATTGGTGATGGCATCTGGAAGATAGGGAGGAGGAGAGAGGGAATTGGGGTTATTGTTTGGAAGGAGAATCCCCCTCCATGAGGACTTCCGGTATCAAAGCCCTCTCTGGGGTTGCTTCCCTTCTCTGTATTTTAATGCCACTAGGACCAGCTTGAGAGTCATTGGACCCCAGTCTCACAAAATAACTGTCTACAGTCCTCTGTACATCCTAGCAAGCTCAACAAGTCTCACTCCAATCTCATATTTCTGTATTATTTCTTTCTTCACATCTATGGTGTTTCTCATTTTCTTTACCACAGGGGTACTGCTAGCAAGTTTCTTTGGGCCCATGGCAGCTTATTTCACAGCCCCACAAGCATTAAACACAATTAAATAATCGTAAAATGTGTGAATGAGATTTCAGGTTAGTGTTCACTCAAGCATAAACAAAGCTAGACTGCTCACGGCGCCTGCGTGGGGACGCAGACAGAGCAGGCCAGCGGACAGGTCCGGTACCTGGCGGTCCGAAAATAGGGGCACGTTCGATAATAGGGACACAGTTTGTCCGAAAAAATGGTCTTATTTTCGAAACGTTCAATATGTGATACGTTCGATTTTTGAGGTTCCACTGTACTTGTATTTTTATTGTAACTGTTCATCAGTGGTATATGACTCATAAGGGTTAAGCATTTCTTTTTTACATAATGATAATTGGATATAGGATAGGCCTAACAAGCATATTTTGCTCAAAAAATTACTGAAGATGGAAAGTGCTGAGCTTTATTTTCTATTATTTTCAGACTTTGCCCCTGGAAGTAAGTGTCCTACAGGTATTCTACGTGTATGTTCAGCAGTGTCCAGGCTCCCAGCTTGGTGAATGTTGGGGACCACTGCTTACTATGGTTAAGGAAGGAACATTGTCTCTCACTCCTCCAGCACAGCTTGTCCTCCTTGCTACTCTCAATGAATTTGTTCAGAGAGCCCCAGCATTGCAAGAGAAGAAGGATATAAAAGATCTTCAGGTTTGTGGATGTGGATTGAAATTCATTATTAAATGGAGTATTTTAAGATTTGTTAAACAGTTGAATTACTAGCATGTTGTGTAAGTTAGTGTGGAAGTTATTATGTAAGGATTTACCTTTTTTTTTAATAGTTGCTTTCTTTCTTTCATCTTTACATGTTTTATTATGGGTATATATTAGTCCCTGGAGTTATGATATAACTTTATTAAGGAATTTAGTTTAGCAATGAAAAATTTGAGATACAGTATGCATACAAGTCAGCGTACATGAATGAGCCTCAGTCAGCCAGTGATGTGGTAGCTTGCCTCTTGGGTAGCATATAAGCCATCAGTGGGGGTGCGTGGCAATGGCTTAGCAGCCAATCAGCAGTGATATTGAGTGTCTATGGTAGCATCTTAGCTAATAGATATTCCAGAAGTTCAGACATCTTCCAGCATGAAATAATAATAATACAGAAGAAATCATAAGCAGAAACTGCTACAGTAATAACAGACACTTAGAAATAATACAGGATATGGCAGTAAGAGTTTGGATTAAGACAACAAGTGGTATTAGAGGGACAACACTATGAAGGTTTAGCAGTGCCTGGCTCTAGTCTACCTCTCACTTCAATAAATGTTCTTAATTATTTTTAATGTGCCTGTTCTTAATTTCTGTACACTCAGAAAATAAACACACACACGCACACATGCGAGAGAGCATGAGAGAGTGTGAGAGAGAGCAAGCGAGCAAGCAGACATTCATTGATACTGTATACTTTCCTGACAGTTGTAAAAATTAAGCTGTCATTATTTAATTACTGTAGTATGCAAGACTAACACACAAATGAGAAAACAGAAAGGAAGTAAAAATGAAGGACACAAAGGAGAAAATATTCACTAAAATGGTAAAGTAGCAGAGGAAAATAGAGCAGTCCATCATGAGGTAGTGCTATGTGAATATTGATAAAGGAAGAAACCATCACTGGGAGATCAGCTTCTCTTGTTCGTTTTCCCACAGTAAGGATTCCTTGGGTGACCAAGGCCACCTTGTGTTTTTTTCTGCAGCTTCTTGGCATTTCATCCTTTATTTCTTTTCATTACATTTAAGAAATGAGCAATACTGTGTGTCATGTAGATTTTTGTCATATATAAATTTTTACCTGTTAAATTTTATGCTGCTCTCATTGACTTCACATTCTCTTCCTTTTTTATACCTTAGGATGTATCCAGTAAACTGTTGGAGTCTTGTAGTAACATTGCTGGGTCTGGTCTTGAGCCCACCACCTGGTTAAGGAGAAACCTCACTGTCAAAACAGAAAACTTAGAGAAAAAGGATGGAGTGAATGGTAAAGCATTATTTATTTCATAATATATATATATATATATATATTTTTTTTTTTTTTTTTCAACAAGTCGGCCATCTCCCACCGAGGCAGGGTGACCCAAAAAAGAAAGAAAATCCCCAAAAAGAAAATACTTTCATCATCATTCAACACTTTCACCACACTCACACATTATCACTGTTTTTGCAGAGGTGCTCAGAATACAACAGTTTAGAAGCATATACGTATAAAGATAAACAACATATCCCTCCAAACTGCTAATATCCCGAACCCCTCCTTTAGAGTGCAGGCATTGTACTTCCCATTTCCAGGACTCAAGTCCGACTATATGAAAATAACCGGTTTCCCTGAATCCCTTCACTAAATATTACCCTGCTCACACTCCAACAGATCGTCAGGTCCCAAGTACCATTCGTCTCAATTCACTCCTATCTAACACGCTCACGCACGCTTGCTGGAAGTGCAAGCCCCTCGCCCACAAAACCTCTTTTACTCCCTCTCTCCAACCCTTTCGAGGACGACCCCTACCCTGCTCCTGGTCATCCTTCAGACTTGGCAGAGCGACTTTCTAGGGACATGAGCTTCATTAAGGTCAAGTTTTTGCCTCCTAATACCACTCCTCTCCTGCAGCCCATGGACCAGCAGGTTATTTCAACTTTCAAAAAACTCTACACAAAAGCTATGTTTCAAAAGTGCTTTGAAGTGACCTCAGACACTCGATTGACTCTTAAGAGAGTTTTGGAAAGATCACTTTAGCATCCTCAGTTGTGTAAACCTTATAGGTAAGGCTTGGGAGGGAATGACTAAGAGGACCTTGAATTCTGCTTGGAAGAAACTGTGGCCACAATGTGTAGAAGAATGGGATTTTGAAGGGTTTGGGGCTAACCCTCAGGAGCCTGTGCCAGTTGTGGAATCTATTGTGGCATTGGGAAAGTCCATGGGGGTTGGAGGTTAGTGGGGAGGATGTGGAAGAGTTGGTGGAGGAGGACAGTGAAGAACTAACCACTGAAGAGCTGCAAGATCATCTTCAACAGCAAGAGGCCAGACCTGAGGAAACTGCTTGAGAGGAGGGGAGAGAGAAATTGAAGTAGATGCCTACTTCAAAGATTAAGGAAATGTGTGCAAAGTGGGTTGAACTGCAAACCTTTGCGGATGAAAATCACCCTGACACACCTACTGCAAGCTGTGCTGGTGACTATTACAATGACACTGTTATGGCCCATTTTAGGAAAGTCTTAAAGGAACGGGAGGTAAAGGCCTCTATGGACAGATTTGTTGTGCAACAGAGGTCCAGTGACTCTCAAGCTGGTCCTAGTGGCATTAAAAGAAGAAGGGAAGTAACTCCGGAAAAAGACTTGATACCTCAAGTCTTAATGGAAGGGGATTCCCTTTCTAAACAATAACAACTTCCACACTCTCCCCTCCTCCCATCCCATCAATCATCACCAGATCTTCAATACGGGTAAGTGTCATGTATTCTATTCTTAGTAGAGTAGTAATTGTGCATGTCTTCTTTAGTTTGTGTGTATTAAAATTAATATTTCATGTGGTAAAAAAATTCTTTTTTCATACTTTGGGGTGTCTTGCACGGATTAATTTGATATCCATTATTTGTAAAGGGGAAAATTAATTCGCCTTATGATAATTTTTGCTTACAATGAGCTCTCAGGAACGGATTAATATCGTAAGGCAGGGGTCCACCGTATATATATAATATATATATAAAGATACACAACATATCCCTCCAAAACTGCCAATATCCCAAAACCCCTCCTTTAAAATGCAGGCATTGTACTTCCCATTTCCAGGACTCAAGTCCAGCTATATAAAATAACCGGTTTCCCTGAATCCCTTCACTAAATATTACCCTGCTCACACTCCAACAGCTCGTCAGGTCCCAAATGCCATTTGTCTCCATTCACTCCTATCTAACACTCTCAGGCATGCTTGCTGGAAATCCAAGCCCCTCACCCATACAACCTCCTTTACCCCCTCCCTCCAACCCTTTTGAGGACAACCCCTACCCCGCCTTCTTTCCCCTACAGATTTATACCCCCTCCATGTCATTCTACTTTGATCCATTCTCTCTAAATGACCAAACCACCTCAACAACCCCTCTTCATGTCTCTGACTAATACTTTTATTAACTCCACATCTTTTCCTAATTTCCACACTCCGAATTTTCTGCATAATATTTACACCACACATTGCCCTTAGACAGGATTTCTCCACTGCTTCCAACCGCCTCCTCGCTGCAGCATTTACAACCCAAGCTTCACACCCATATAAGAGTGTTGGTACCACTATACTTTCATACATTCCCTTCTTTGCCTCCATAGATAACATTCTTTGTCTCCACATACACCTCAACACACCACAAACCTTTTTTACCTCATCAATCTATGATTAACCTCATCCTTCATAAATCTATCTGCTGACACATCAGCTCCCAAATATCTGAAAACATTCACTTCTTCCATACTCCTCTCCAATGTGATATCCTATTTTTCTTTATCTAAATCATTTGATCCCCTCATCACCTTACTCTTATCTATGTTCCCTTTCAACTTTCTACCTATACACACCCTCCCAAACTTGTCCACTAACCTTTGCAACTTTTCTTTAGAATCACCCATAGGCACAGTATCATAATCAAAAAGTAACTGTGTCAAATCCCATTTTGTATTTGATTCCCCATAATTTAATCCCACCCCTCTCCCCAACACCCTAGCATTTACTTCTTTTACAACCCCATCTGTAAATATATTAAACAACCATGGTGACATTACACATCCGTGTCTAAGACTTGCTTTAACCGGGAAGTAATCTCCCTCTCTTCTACACACCTAACCTAAGCCTCACTATCCTCATAAAAACTCTTTACAGTATTTAGTGACTTACCACCTATTCCATATACTTGCAACATCTGCCACATTGCTCCCCTATCCACTCTATCATATGCCTTTTCTTAATCCATAAATGCAGTGAAAATTTCCCTACCTGTATCTAAATACTAAATATTGTATCATATAAATAGGAACCCATCACACTTACACCAGAGTCCCTCAGCACTCTCAAATAAGCTGAAAGGGGTAAATTTTGGCCAGATATGAAAGAATGGGTCTGTGCAGTGAGTGTGCACAGTATAAAAAAAAAAGTCCTGCCCCACACAGTTCATGATGAGAAAAGCAAAATTCTGACCCTGTGTTTGGTTTAAAATAGCTACTTTGAAGTATTTTGTAGGATGGTTTTTTATTGGCTGTTTCTTGGTTCCATTTGATAGAATGGAAGACATACTACTGAAATAGAAATGATTTTGGTTGGTTCCTGGACCGGAAGTTGCCTGAAGACATCAGCCTCGATGGCCCCAGTCTGTTTAATGGGGTTTTACTAAGTCTGATACAGTTATTGGGCTGCTGTAAACCATGACTAATCATTCTTGGTTATATTTTATTACCTGAGAAATTCGGTAGATCTTCAATTTTTTGTGATGATGAATTCAAAATGGAAGGCAAGTGTTATATAGAAGATGCCTGGGATGTCTACAGTGCCTGGAATGTATACAGTGTTTAAATTTGAATTTTTTAATTTTGTGTAAAATTACAAATACAAATTATTTATTTATTTTCTGCAGTATATAGGTAATGTAGTTTACATGTAATAAAATATTGTTAGGCATAAAAGAAAGCCACTAGTATGCAGTGCATTTCGAGCAGACTAATCCTAATACTTAAAGACTGCTTAAGACACTACACATGGGTTATTAAGTAGGAATTTTTAAATGTAGAAAAAGAGAGATAGCTAAGTGAGCAATAGTACAATTTTAAGTTTACATTAATATTTCAAACTTACTATGTCTTCAGTTTATGGGACGATTGAAAGAGATGGCGAATATATAGAAGTTAGTTTCAGTATGAGTATAATGGAACAACATGAGTAATTCATTTTCTATGGGAGTTTGAGGAAGACTGGAAGAACAGAGATAGAGTTGGATGAGCAAGTTATGTTTGGTATAGCATAGTGTTGGTTTGGTTATGTTAGGGAGATGAGATGCATTTTAATAATGACTCTAAATTGATTAGCAGACAGGGGACATTTCAGTAATTCAGGCAATGAATTCCAGATTTTAGGGCAAAATTATTGGCCAAATTACCAAATTCTCTGCATTTTATAAGATAGTTTTGATAGTTAAAAAGGCAGTGTCTTGTGCTCAGTCAGTAGAATGAAAGGCAAACAAACAAAATACCTAAGAATTTTGTCAACTTGAACAATGGAATTGACTTAAAATAGAACTCAAAGTGGTTGAAATTGCTGATGCATGAATTGCTCTGAAACTGCTTAATTTGTGCCTGTGTAATTCCATTAGATTTTCATCAAATTTCGTTTTTGAGTCATTACCATCAGAAAAAGATTCTCAACTATTTCAGATTTTTTTTATTTTTTAAATGTAGACGCTTAATTTTGGGACTTTAAACAGTGAAGGGGTTAAAAACATCAATTTCAGATAAGTACATGGAGCCTCACTCAAATACATGACTGAAAATATCCACCTGAAATAATCACATGATACAAAACAAATAGGAACTAACCACCCCTACACCACAGATATGCTGTATGAGTAAGAAATTAGGTGGTGAGGTCAGTGACAAATCCCTAAACAATAACTAAAAGTGTTGGCCCCCCTCAATTAAAACAGTGTACATACTGTATTTTGTATATTGTTTGCATACAAATAGTATACAAAATTCTGGAAGTAGGAAGTGCAATTCCTGCACTCTGAAGAATGGGTGGGGGTGTTCCAGTTCAGAGGATAATTTTAATTGTGATGTCCTTGCAACTCTAGCAAGGCAGCTGTTGAATGAATGACGGTGAATGCATTTCCCTCTTTTGGTCACTCTACCTTGGTGGTAAATGGTTGATGTGATAAAAATAGTTGTATATGTTAGTGTAAATTTTTATAGAATTTACCAACTACAATACTTCAGGTAAAATAGTATTATTCATAATTTTTCACATTTCTTTCTGTGGTTTCAGTAAACTGTGAACAGTTAGTCTCCCAAATCATGTTAGCAGAATTCATTCCTGCCTAAATCTGTCTCCTCAAAATACACATTTCATTTGATATAAAAAAAATTCCATTATATAAAGTTAATCATTCTCTTTTAATTTCTAGATCCATCAATATATAGTGTGGCAGCATTAAGTGTCCTTGCAGAGCTGCTAGCACCACTTCTAGATGTGTTGTATGTTAGTGAAGAAAAGGATAAAGTTGTACCTCTTCTCACCAATATCATGGCTCATGTTATTCCATACTTAAGGAACCATACGTAAGTTTTGTAGACCACATCCAGCAATATTGATACTGTGCTAGATTTATTATTCTTTTCAATAGGGAGGTTCCTTGATGCTCTAAGGAGATATTGATCCAAGCAATTGGACTTATCCTCCTCTTCCCTAGATCAAATCTGATTGCCTCCCATTTCCCAGGCACTGTATGATGACTGTTGATATAGCACTTTTCCTTAACCCTTAAACTGTCAAACAGATCTACGTTCACATGCATAGTGCTCTAAAAGTAGATCTATGTTTTTTTACATATTTTCAAATATAACAAAAAAAAACAGAGATCAAAGTTTTTTTACACATTTTCAAATGTAAAAAAAAAAAAAAGGTCTACGTTTTTTTACATACTTTCAAATGTTGAAAAAATGTAGATGTATGTTTGGACAGTTTAAGGGTTAAATATATATAATAATAAGATGAAGAACCCTAGGTAGTAGGTTGGTAGACAGCAACCGCCCAGGGAGGTACTACCGTCCTGCCAAGCGAGTGTAAAACGAAAGCCTGTAATTGTTTTACATGATGGTAGGATTGCTGGTGTCCTTTTTTTCTGTCTTGTGAACATGCAAGATTTCAGGTACGTCTTGCTACTTCTACTTACACTTAGGTCATACTACACATACATGTACAAGCATATATATATATATATATATACCCCTCTGGGTTTTCTTCTATTTTTTTTCTAGTTCTTGTTCTTGTTTATTTTCTCTTATCTCCATTGGGAAGTGGAACAGAATTCCTCCTCCATAAGCCATGCGTGTTGTAAGAGGCAACTAAAATACCGGGAGCAAGGGGCTAGTAGCCCCTTCTTCTGTATAAATTACTAAATTTAAAAAGAAAAACTTTTGTTTTTCTTTTTGGGCCACCCTGCCTTGGTGGGATACAGCTGGTGTGTTGAAAGAAAGAAAGAAAACATGCAAGGTTTCAGGTATACTTCCTAGACCCCCCTAATCATTACTTGTACTCTCTAACCCACCTTTTTCCCAATAGTTACCTAGATCTTTAACCATTTCCTTTAATTTATAAACTTTCATTTTTCTCTTACCCACCAATGTTCTCCTTGTATACCATCTACCTCTTACTATCACTGTAGCTACCACTAAATAATAATCTGATATATCAGTCACCCCTGTAAAAGCATGCACATCCAAAAGTCTACTCATCAACCTTGTATCTACCATCATCATGACCTACATCGTATCTCGTATACTACTCATCCTGTTTTTCTTAAAATACATATTACCTATTACCAAACCTCTTTCCATGCATAGTTCAATTAGAGGCCTCTATTATCATTTACCCCCCTGGCATTCCAAATTTACCTACTACACCCTCTACAATGATTTCTCCCACAGCAATGATTTTTCTCCCTAAACACTTACTTAACACCTCCCCAAATCTCTCTTTCCTTTGTATATTATTAAGAGTAATTAATCACTAAATGTGGTTTTTCAGGCGTAATAATATGCCGGCCTTTGCAGCATGCTCTCAGCTAATATCATCACTTTCTGGGTACCAATATACTGTTCGAGCTTGGCGCAGGGATGTTATAGACCTTCTGTTGGATTCACAAGCCTTCATGATGCTTCCACCCATTCTTACATACTGGCGAACTATTGTTGATTATCTTTGCACACATGATAAAAGCGTATTTAAAGAACTATTAGGTAAGTTGATACTGTACTTAGATGTTTATGTATTGATATTACAAAGGTTTGTAATGTTAGAATTTGTAAAAGAAACAGTTGAGTAATTAAGGATATTATCACTTTTTTTTTTTTTTTTTTAATATATAGGTCGAGTGTCCATGTCTCAAGGAGGATCACTAAGTCTTTTCTCAAGTAAAGAATCTGAATATGAAATACGTGCTGGTCTGCTGAAGAGATTAGCCTTTACAATTTTCTGCTCAGAAACAGATCAGTATATGCGTCACATCCCTGATATTCAAGGTGAGCCAACGTATGCACTAGTAAGAAATTTTTCATACATTATAAACACTAATTCACAAGTTTGCTGTGAACCCCCTTGGTGTGCTTGGCCATACATAAAAAAATTCTAAATTAATACAGCTTGTTCCTAGGTAAGTACACTAAAGACACCTTTATTTATTTGAACATTTCCTAATGAATTCTTCACTGTCTTAAATGGAAAAGATAGAACAATCTGAGCATTTTCTCAAGGAAGTATGCATCAAGATAATGGTAAAAGGATAGAGGAAAGAAAAAAAATAGTGGTACCTCAATTTGTTTTTAACACTTAGGCCGTTTCCCACCAAGGCAAGGTGACCCAAAAAGACAGAAAAACACAAAAAGAAAGAAAAAACTTTCATCATCATTCAACACATTCACCATCACTCATACATAATCACTGTCTTTACAGAGGCGCTCAGATACGACAGTTTAGATGTCCCTCCAAACTGCCAATATCCCAAACCCCACCTTTAAAGTGCAGGCATTGTACTTCCCATTTCCAGGACTTGAGTCTGGCTAACCAGTTTCCGCTGAATCCCTTCATAAAACATTACCTTGCTTACACTCCAGCAGCTCGTCAGGTCCCAAAAACCATCCGTCTCCATTCACTGTCTAACACACTCATGCATGCTTGCTGGTACCTCAATGTTCGAACTTAATCCATTCCCTGTGGCTTTTTGAATAGTGTGTTGTATGAATACTGATTCAGTTTTTCACATAAGAAATAATGTAAATTGGATTATTCTGTTCGTGACCCCCAAAAATTACCAATTATAAAACATTTTAAGTGAAAATACAGTGGACTCTCGGGTATCGGCCGGTGTGGATATTGGCCAAATTGGATTTTGGCCGCTTTTTTGGCCAAAATTCTATCCTGAATTTCAGCCAGCAACTCGGAAATTGGCTGCATTGGACGTGTCTGCCTGACACTCTGCTGCATGTGTGAGTCAGTCTGGCTGTGTCTCTCAGTGAGTGAATGACACTCCTCACATTCATCCAAACATTTCATTATAATCCATGGTTTTTTATGGTTGTTTATTGAGTGCGACTGCTAAATAAGCCACCATGGGCCCAAAGAAAGTTCCTAGTGTCAGTCCTTTGATAAAGAAGGCAAGAAACACGACAGAATTCAATGGTGGTAGTGATTGTGGTAGAGGGTGGTTGTGGTGGTAGTAGAGGGTAATAGTGATGGTGGCAGAAAGTGGTAATGATGGTGGTAGTGATGGTGGTAGGGGATGGTAGTGATGGTGGTAGAGATAACCTCTCCTTCCTCTCTCCTCCTCACCCTCTTCTATATGCCAACAAGAGTCTTCAATAAAGGTAAAAGTGATTTAAATGTTCATTTATTCATTTCATTAGTCCTTTATATTTATTTCTCACTGTTTTCTGTATGTAAAACTATAGTTAATCTTTAAAAAATGTATTTTTTGTTAATATTTTTGGGTGTCTGGAATGGATTAATTGTATTTACATTAATTCTTATGGGAAGTATTACTTCAGTTTTCAGCCTTTTTGGATTTTGGGTGACCTTCTGGAACGGATTATGGTGTCGAAATCCGGGGTTCCACTGTATTGCTTATTTAAATGTTTATAATAATTGCATGCATAAAATCATACATGAAAACTATAAAAACAATACATGAAGTAAATGAAAATTTAACTGCACTTTTACTGAGGAGTGCTGATGGCTTAAGAGGAAGGTGGAGAGATGTTATTGGTAACTGCCTGTCTGTTGTTTTTTCGCTTCTCTGTCTCTGTGCAGTAGCAGTTGAAGATGAGGCGGGATTCACTAGCATTTGATTTTTTCTTTGCTAAAGAAGCTGTCCAATGTTGTCTGCTTTTGACAATTTTTCAAAAATTTTCTGAAATGGTCAACAACATTGTCACTGAACAGGTTAATGCTCTTATTCACAATGGTAAGGTTAGGATCCCATTTTTCCAGCAGGCTCTGTGTTTGAGCCCAATGGTAACACAGTTCATTAAATTTTGCAGTTAAACGTTGCCCTTACTACCTTTCTCTAAAGAAATTTCCTCAACCACTTCTTGCTGCTCTTTGTGCAAGTCTTGAAATTCTTCTGTGGTAAGCTCATTCTTGTAATCCTCCAGCAACTCCTCTACATCCTCATCATTGATTTCCAAAGCCATGGACTGGCCCAGAGAAACAATATCCTTCAGTACAGGCTCTGCCTCAAACCCTTCAAAATCTCTAACTGATACACAATCTGGCCACAATTTCTTCCAGGCGGAGTTCATTGTCTTGAAACTTTTCCCCAGAGTGGTAGACTAGCAATGGTTTAATTTTGCAGTCCCCACTAGCATTACCACAAAACAAGAGTGTTAGCCTGTCTTTTGTGGGCTTGTGTCTCTGTAAGGATTTTTCTTCTTGTGTGTTGTAAGTTCTCTTAGGCATTCTTTTCCAAAAGGAGACAGTTTCATTACAGTTAAAAACTTGTTGAGGAATAAATCCCACAATGTCTACATAGGTTTTAAATTCCTTAACAAACATTTTAGCCTCATCTCTGTTAGCACTGGTAGCCTCCCCATGCCTTACTACACTATGAATCCCACTCGTCTTTTTAAACTTATCAAACCAGCCCCTACTTGCCTTAAATTCATCACTTTCAGCACTGTTTCCTGGGGTGTCTTGCCTAAGATCATTATATAACTACTTTGGTTTTTCACAAATTATTGTTTCAGAAACACTGTCACTAGCAAATTTTTTTTGTCAGTCCACACTAAGAAAATTTTTTCCATTTCTTTGATTATCTGTGACCTTTTCACAGCAGGAATTTTCACTCCTTTCACCACATCAGCCCCTTTTATTGCACCTTTATTTTTCAATATGGATGATATAGTGGATTTTGCTATACCATATTCACTGGCCAGGTCAGACACGTGTTCCACTTTCCCACTTCACATGAGCTTTATATGACTCTGTTGTTCTCACTGCTTTCCTTTTACACTTGTTTGGATCACTACATTTTTGGGAGGAGGCTAGGATTTCTTATTTTCAATGAAAATACTGTATTTAAAAAACACCACAAAATAACAATGAAATACCAAAAATTTAATGGAGCTTTTATGAATAATGCTTAACGAACTGAGCAGGTGAAGTTTCATTTTTGTTGGACTTCATGCAGATGGACCATTTTGTTTAGGTCGAATATCAGGGCGATGTCCATATACCGAGTAAAATTTTTCTCAAAAAAATTGGGCGAATATCAAGTTGTACGAATATTGAGGTTCAACTGTAGAAAGATAAATGGAAAGAATTTTTTTCTTAACACGTCATCTGTCTCCCACTGAAGCAAGGTGACCCAACAGGAAAGAAAAAACTTTCATAATTCAACACTTTCGACATCACTCATACATAATCACTGTCTTTGCAGAGGCGCTCAGATATGACAGTTTAGACATCCCTCCAAACTGCCAATATCCTAAACCCCTCCTTCAAAGTGCAGGCATTGTACTTCCCATTTCTAGGACTTGAGTCCGGCTAACGGGTTTCCCTGAATCCCTTCACAAAATACTACCCTGCTCACACTCCAACAGCTTGTCAGGTCCCAAAAACCATTCGTTTCCATTCACTCCTATCTAAGACGCTCACACACATTGCTGGAAGTCCAAGCCCCTTGCCCACAAAACCTCCTTTACCCCCTCCCTCCAACCTTTTCAGGGATGGCCCATACCCCTACTTCCTTCCTCAACAGATTTATACATTCTCCAAGTCATTCTTTGTTTCATTCTCTCTAAATGGCCAAACTACCTCAACAGCCCCTCTTCAGCCCTCTGATTAATACTTTTAGTAACTCCACACCTCCTAATTTCCACACTACAAATTCTCTACAAAATATTTACACCACAAATTGCCCCTAGACACAACATCTCCACTGCCTCCAGCCGCCACCTCCTTGCTGCAGAATTTACAACCCACCTGTATAAGAGTGTTTGTACCACTATACTCTCATACATTCCCTTCTTTGCCTCCATGGATAATGTTCTTTGGCTCCACAGATACCTCAACACACCACTCACTTTTTTTTCCTCATCCTTCATAAAACCATCTGCTTATAAGTCATCTGAAAAAATTCACTTCTTCCATACTCCCTCCCCCCAATGTAATATCCAATTTTTCTTTATCTAAATTGTTTGATACCCTCATCACCTTACTCTTATCTATATTCACTTTCAACTTTCTACCTTTACACACCCTCCCAAACTCATCCACTAACCTTTGCAACTTTTCTTTAGAATCCCCCAAAAGCACAGTAACATCAGCAAAAAGTAACTGTATCAAATCCCATTTTATATTTGATTCCCCATAATTTAATCCCACCCCTCTCCCCAACACCCTAGCATTTACCTCTTTTACAACCCCATCTATAAATATATTAAACAACCATGGTGACATTACACATCCCTGTCTAAGACCTACTTTTACTGGGAAGTAATCTCCTCTCTCCTATACACCCTAACCTGAGCCTCACTATCCTCATAAAAACTCTTTACAACATTTAGTAACTTACTACCTATTCCATATACTTGCAACATCTGCCACATTGCTCCCTATCTACTCTATCATATGCCTTTTCTATATCCATAAATGCAATGAAAACTTCCCTACCTTTATCTAAATACTGATCACATATATGTTTCAATGTAAACACCTGATCTAGACATCCCCTACCCATTCTAAAGCCTTGTTCATCTGCAATCCTGCTCTCTTAACTGTAATTCTTTCAATAAGAACCTTACCATACACTTTACCTGGTATACTCAGTAAGCTTATTCCCCTGTAATTTTTACAGTCTCTTTTGTCCCCCTTCCCTTTCTGTAAAAGAACTCTACATTCTCTCTGGCAATCCCTAGGTACCTTCCCCTCATTCATACATTTATTAAACAAAAATACCAACCACTCCAACACCATGTATCCCCCTGCTTTTAACATTTCTGTCATGATCCCATCATTTCCAGCTGCT